CTCCCCTCTGCTTGGGAGATAATTGAGTTAATTACTGTATCAACTCAATTATCTCCAGGCAGACAAAAAAAAACACATTTCCCAAAAGTACCCCAAAACACAACATATCCCAATAAAAGTCACAGCCGTGATCTGGGTGAATAACATATCCAAAAATCACCCAGATCAGAGCAGGGGTTCAGGAATTTCCTGGAAGTCATAGTTTTGACCAACCATGCACATGGTCCTATGCCCAAAACAGTTCCAGGAAAATCAATGCTAACAGTCAGTCAAGTTTGGTAGTCTTTTACAGGTTTCCCTGCAGGGCCCATAGTCTGTGGGCAGGAGGCTGGCAAGCAGGCTTCTCCAGGAGCTCGTGGCACACTCATTTGGGGAGTGGAGTTTGTCACAGTGAGCTTATACACAAACTGGTCATATGGTGTAACTAAATCCCAATATTTCTTTGCTTAAAGGGACAGTATAAGCACCCAAACCACTTAATCTCATTGAAGTAATCCACATTGCCATTCTGCAGACAGCCATTAGAGGTGCTTCTGTAGAAATAGCTGAGTGAAACTTGGCTATTTCTATCAGATGGTCTCATAGAGACTATGTGATTGGTGCATCGAAACAATGCTTTCCAATGGGACAGGTGTATTGAAACTATTTTTATATGTATGTATGTGTGTATTGTTTGCTAAATGTGTAGTTATTATGGTCCCCAATTTCTTTGTTTTTTTGGGGGGTGGGGGTTTAAATAATTTTTTATTGCAGAGATAATGAGGATTACAATATACATGAAATGTAGCTCCAGTATCAAAAAACTTATATAGAAGTGTATTAAAAGTAATTTTGTTTGAGAACAAAACCAAACCAAAAACATAAAATGTAAAACAAAGTACCATGTCATACATTCATATGGACGGTTGGTGTTCTGGAATAGGATCATGAAGAAGCAAGAATATAGGAATAATGGCCTGACATCCAAGAGGGCCAGACATGTTCTTTGAGAGCTCCGGCAAAACGGAGCTTAACTTAGGCTTTTATTACCTAAAATCGTGTCACTTGCAGCCTTATACAAAGATGGTTAACTGCTGAACTGAGTGGGAACCTATGGAAACAAATCACCTGTACAAATTAGCTTGCCGTGTTATCGCTGTCGGAACATGTGGCCTTGCAAGTGCTGTGGCCTGGAGACCGGGGAAGGCGGCTGATTCCCTGACACGGGAAACACTCTGCACAACTACTCACCTGATGCCACGCAGCCCCCCCTTGTGAACTTGTGAGGGATATCCCGGTCCCCACGGTGGAAGCTTACCACTCTGCAACCGCAATATCACCTACAGAAACGGAGCCCTCATGGCAAAACCAAAATGGCCGCTGCGCCACTTCCATCACAGTCTCGAGAGAGCTTTGAGCTGCAGAGATGGAGAGAGAGCTTTGAGGCTCGATTTGATAAACTCTGCCAGGAGTTTTGGATCCACATCTCCCACCTTCCTCCCTCCCATGCATCACTTGCTCAACCGGAGACTGTGGAGAAAGCTGAGACAGCGGACCACCAAGCCTGCACTGCACACCTGGAGGTATGTCCTACAAGCTGCCAAAACAAACGGAGGGCTCTTTGTCCTTCTTACCGCCCTAAGGCCCATGGTCCTGCCAGGAAGAGACAGAGGGTACACAGATACCTGACGCTAGCTCACCATTAAGCTTGTGCTCCCACCGACGATGTACCCAGGAACAGCGGATTTGCTTAAATCACAGGCAGGTGCCATGGTGGCCTGACCCAGAGTTGGACTCTATATGATGGCTTATTCAGGGTATCGGATGATCCCCTGATGGCAAAGACTCAGCCTGTACAACAACTACCATCTTGTTTTTATTATGTGTTTTTCTCTTCTATTTCTGATTTCTGTTTTCTAGTTTCTCCCCTAATCCTTTTTGAACAATGCATAGTACCCAGTGGTATCAATACTACTTTTATCTGACAGTCTAGCCAGACTGAATTATTTCACCTCTGAAACTCTCCTTCTGAGAGGCTTTCTCTGCCTGTGAGTTCCATACTCTTTCTTAGGTCATGAGGACTGATTTAGGAACCACTGCTCTATACTATCACAATAGAAACTGAAACAGATTTTAGTAGGCTATAGGGACATATGGGGAAAATCCATTAATTATTTAATGGATAATAGATTTCCTAGAAGCTGCCAATATGACCCCAAAATTGTTGTCACAAACTGCAATCTAAAATACTTGAAGCAATTGGTTTGAATGGAATAAGCATATATATATATTTGTTGGCTTAATTTCTCCATGCTGCGCCATGTTGGTTTAATTTCTCCATGTTTCTGTTATGGTTTTTGTCATGTTTTGTATCTTACTAACCATTAGTTAGTACTAACCATTATAAATTTGATGAACACATGTACTTTCACAACCATAAAATAATTTTTATTATTGACCTGGGCATTTACTAGTGCTGGTACCTCAACGCTTTATTTCTTCTTTGTCTCCAGCTGTCTGTACCATCTGATGCCTCAGATCTCTTGTCCTGGCTGAGCACTGAGGAGGTTCTACCCCCTTTCTGCAGGTGTGTTATCAGCAGCACCCACAATTCAGTTTCCTCAGGCTCATCATATATCATGCACCTGGAACCTCTTTCCCTGGAATCTGCACAAAACCTGGCAGTCATGTACCTATCTCGCTATACCAAGGTGACAGTGTGCTTTAAATGTTGAGGCACGGGGAAAGTCAATGGAGGAAAAAAAGATCAAGAATAGGGAAATAAATAAAATAGTGGGAAGATAGAAACACTAATCAGATGGTGAGAAAAAAAAAAGAATCAGAAAAAGACGGTTTTGAAAACTGATATACAATAGTGACCAAAGCCTGGGAAACTGATCTGAATTTCTTGATATGGGTAACTAGGTAAAGAGATTCTGATTACTGCTGAAAATAGTTCATCACAATAGTATAGAGAAGGGAAATTTTATTTAGCAAAACCAGTGAACATTTTCAATAAATCAATTATATAGTATTGAAAATACTGTCTTTCATCTGTGGTGTGCAGGAACTGAGCTCAAAGCAGCTCCACCTGCTACTTCAGAAGACTTCTTCCCAGAATCCTCTATGGCTTACCATGGCTTGTGAAGAGCTACGTGTTTTTGGGGAGTTTAAGATGCTTACGCAGAAGATTGCTGGATTTCCTGACACATTACAAGGATTATTAGAAAATATTATCCAAAGGCTTGTCCAGGAAGACCAGAGTGCCCGAGTTAAGGAGGTGAAAAGACAGCTACATTTTATACATGTTACACATTTGCCTATGTAACATATACACACGCTGTTTGCACACTATGTTATAGTGCAGGTTTATAAGCAATGTAACTGTTTTGCTGCAAATGGATAAGGAAACATGCTTTCAGTGTATGTATGTGCAGTATATATATATATATATATATATATATATATATGTTTATTTTTAATATATTTCTTTTTGGTAGATGCTGGTATAACAAGTGGTTTTTCTTATGAATATCTTTTTACAGTTGTTGTGTCTGTTATATTGCTGCTCAGAAAGTGTGGTGGAGAAGGACCTCCAGGGTTCCTTGTCTTATTTAGAACGTGGTCCTGAGATACCCAGCATGCATTGGGCCACACTACGCAGAACCATAAAATGTCTAATTCGAGCAAGCCGAGATCACAGAGGGAGGGACAAACTGAGTTTTTTCCATGGTAGCGTGGCAAAGGTAACCAGCAAGTGCCAGTAAGAGAGTCATATGTTAAAAAAAAACAATACATAGGGATTGATAAATGGCATGCCTACTGTTTAGTATTGTGGGTTATATAGTATTGTGTATAACTGGAGCAAAAATGTTGACCCGTATTTACTGTTTTAACTTAAAGGACGACTCTAGGCACCCAGACCACTTCAGCTTAATGAAGTGGTCTGGGTGCCAGGTCCCACTATGATTAACCCCTTTTTTTTTATAAACCTAGCAGTTTCAGAGAAACTGCTATGTTTATAAATGGGTTAATACAGCCTCCAAATCCTCTAGTGGCTGTCTCATTGACAGCCGCTAGAGGCGCTTGCGTGCTTCTCACTGTGAAAATCACAGTGAGAACACGCAAGCGTCCATAGGAAAGCATTGTAAATGCTTTCCTATGAGACCAGCTGAATGCGCGCGCAGCTCCTGCTGCGCATGCGCATTCAGCAAAAGAGGAGGATCGGACACTGAGAGGAGGAGGAGAGCTCCCCGCCCGGCGCTGGAATAAAGGTAAGTTCAACCCTTTTCCTCTCCATCCAGCCCGGCGGGAGGGGGACCCTGAGGGTGGGAGCACCCTCAGGGCACTATAGTGCCAGGAAAACGAGTATGTTTTCCTGGCACTATAGTGGTCCTTTAAAACCTAGCATTTCCAGATTACATATCATTTGGCTATGGAAACATGTTCAATTTAGAATGAATAGATTGTATTCTTCCTTGGGAGTTTCTATATTATCTGTATGTATGTTATGTCTGTAGTGATTGTTATGTATTAACAAACTGTTCCTATTAGTTACATAGTTACATAAGCTGAAAATAGACATGCATCCATCAAGTTCAGCCTTCCACACATCTGTTTTTTTGCTGTTGATCCAAAAAAAAAACAACAAAAAAAAGTTAGAAGCACTTCCAATTTAGCAACAAACTTGGAAAAAAATCTCCAGAATGGCATTTAGATTTATCTTTGGATCAAGAAGCTATTACCCTACAGCTGAAAAATTATATAATTGAATATTTTATTTTTGCAAGTAGGCATGTAGTTGCTGTTTAAACGTCTGTACAACCTCTGATAAAACCACTTCTTCAGGCTAAGAATTCCACATCCTTATTGTTCTTAAGGTAAAATTATAAAAATATGCAGTTTGTAAACTTATCTTGCATGAAGAATACATTTGATCTTTTATGTCTACAGGCAGTGGAGCAGAGTTTCTTGACAGCAGACACATCCCGTCAGCCTTACCTCTGCAGCCTGTCTGATTATTATGAGAACATATGTTCTGATGACGCCACTGTGGTGTCCCATTTGCCCCGTCTACTGCAGGAGGCTAAACTGAACAATCGCCTGGTCCAGTTCTTGAGAAAGGATCAACGTGCCAAGTCTATCCAAGCTCACATACGTGCTCAGTATTTGAAGGTAACTGAACTGCATTAATTTACATGTCTAATTGCCTGAAGTTCACAAAGAATCACTATTATTATAATATCATCTAAAAAAACAAAAAAGCATTGCTTGCCTACATTCCCACACAGTTAATATTCATCAACAGCATAGTTTTTCTCCGAGGCCCTCTACAGCATTCAATCTTTGTGACAAATTTGCAATTCACAACTTCCGGTTCCGCCATCTTAGCTGGACACGTTTTACCTCCACTCCATCATCTGATTTCACAATCTGCTTCCATCCAGTGTTGACGAAAGCATAATTTTGTAGTTTCTGGCCTATATTGCATGCCTAATGGACTCTGCGGTCGATCCGCATTTGTAGTCTGTGCTCACCCTTCATCACTGCAGGTGCAAATTGACGGAAGTCGAGGCCTGTGGGGTAGGCCTCAACCTTTAGCGTAGGGTACGGAGGCAGTGGGCACACAATCCTGGGCCAAATCTACCAAATCTATCATGATTGTACTGCCAATGCATCTATTTCTGACAAGGAGCACATAATAATCGCGATAGGTACTACACCATCATCGACTACCTGTATTACGAGTGGTTCATCTCACATACCAGGTTTATTGTGATCCATTGCTCACACACTGTAAATATCGACCAATCTGTCCTCAAAGTATGTTATCCTGCCCAGGCCACTCTAAGATTTTCCAGAGCTTAGCGCTTTAAGGCACTCTTTGAAGGATACTCCTCATCAATACAGCTTTATATATTCTCAATTGCCTTCTCACACCAGCAATCTCCACCACTAGCTCATGTGCATACTTTAGTTATTTATGCTTTGTTTTCATTTTATTTTTGCCTGCAACTTAACATCCACGTGCTTGCATAGAACACGCATAACTGTGCTCAGCTGGGCCTGCTCCTCACTCATACCATTAAACCTGCCCAGCAACTCTGGCTGCAGTAAGATTTATTCACACAGGCTTCCATCGTCCCTTGTGTAATTTTTCCAAAGGTTTACCAGATTGGTCAAACGCAGCCTCATTACAATCCTAGCTGACATATTCTCACAGGTTGTTCCTACATACATCAAAATATTAGTCTGTGGCTCCACTCAAGCAGGTGTGTATACTGTGGTTGACCATTTGTTGTGGTTTTTACCTTCCATTAAAAACTGGTGCTCAGGCAACACTGTCGGATAGACCCATCACACTCAGACCATCACCAGCTATCACCAGCTTGTGCCTCCACTAATGCATAATTTTCTCAGGAGGGATACCACAGGTGAACCTGTGCAAGAGTGGCTACATCTGACCACCGGGCAATTTTAGCTGACAAGTACCCAATACTCTATCAATGTGCCAATCTAAGTACTAACCAACACATTCTATATTCATATAATCTCTTAAAGCTACAACCATGCTCTAACCAAATAACCTCACTTGCTGGTCCTCAATTCTCGACCTGACCACTACTCAACATCACTTATTGTACACTGAGAGTCTATTTCTAGGTGGTCTCGGTCAACATCTATATGACTACATAATCCAATTAGGGACTTGTTGGTGATCTATTATGTTTAGGAGATTGAGGTGAAGAATGTGATCGTACAAATCTGCCTAACTTACAACATTTACCTAGTTACTCTGAATATTTAGCTTACCTAATTCCTGGCAGCTACTACTGTACTCCCTCTCTACTCTTTTCTATATTGCTAATCCTCTTCTGCCAAATCTCTGTCTATCAAACTCAACTCACTGGGGCTATCACACCCGTTATAGTTCTAGCACGACATTTTTTTGCAGATCGCTTACACTCCCTTTCACATACTGATTCTACTACATCTCACTCACTATCCTAGGCCAGGGATGATCACAAAGGACATTTGTACTCTCAGACCAGACCACACATTCTCAATACACAACTGAATCAAAGAGCACCTTCTCAGCCAACCTGCAATCAACCTCCTATCAACTCACATCCTTTTCAAACACCCAACAAAAACTCACATCATCCCATATCGCTTGACATCACGCTTACATTTGATTTCGCTTTTCTCTTCCTTTCCCTTTCTTCCTTTTCTCTTTTTCTTATACCCTTTATTTCTTTGTTATGGATAAATTCATAGACAAAACGCTTTCCTCAAAGCAAGATATAAGGACCAACCAATAAACAACATCTCAAAGAACCGCCACCACCCTCTACTCTTGCCCTTTGTTTTCAAGACTCGGATTCAGATGAACATTTTTCTCAATTTCTTTCTGTTTCCACTCTCATTTCACAACAAGCCTCAGAAACATCTTGTGAGGTCTCCAACCTTCCTAAACCAATCTTTGAATCCAAATTCAAGGACATTAAAGAATCTATTGATAGTGCAGTCAATCTACTTCAAACTCATACCTTCCAAACTACTCAGTTGGAAACTCGACAGAACACAACTGAAGAAGAATTACACCAACTGTAATCCACGATAAGACAGCAACAAACTGGCTGATCTTGAAAACTGCAGTAGAAGAAACAATTTACCATCTGTTGGCTTTCCAGAATCCTTGAAAACAGGTGATTTTATTTCTACTGTTGAGACCTAGTTACTGGATATTCTCCAAATAGCCACCACATCCACTTCCTTTCTTACCATCGAGTGGACTTGGCCCAGAAAGATCTGATAAAACCTCCAAACAACGAGCCATTGTAGCAAAGTTTTTGAACTTCAACAACACTGTACGCATTCTTACAGCTTATAAGGAAACCTATCAAGATAACAAAATCTTCATCTTTAAAGATCACTCGGCACAGGTCACCCAAAGATGCCGAGCATTGACCAATTTGTTCAGCACTTCACAACCAAATGTATCCTGCTACATTACGCCTAAGCATCGCAAACCGTTCTCTCTCCACCACATCCGTGTAAGAAGCAACAGCCTTCCTAAACAATGTTCTACTAATTGATAATTTTTTTTGCCAATGCCCTCAGCCCATTCTTCACCTACTAGGGAAGAGTAGTAATTCCCACATGTCACTTCTTCTTGGTTCAGGTTTTTGTATATGCCTTCTAAATAGCCCATAAATTCCACCAGACGTGGCAATTTACATCTCCACCCAGGACCATTTATTTCAGTCTAAAATCAGAGCAACACTGAAGTACCCAGCATGGTTCTCAGCAGAGCTGGTAGTGTGTTGTGACCCATTACAAAATATATCTTAAGATATCAGTTATCCATACGGTCTTTATGGTCGTTGGAATGATGGGGGGCACGTTTATTATGTTTTTAGAGTTTAATTACTTTGTTACATAACCAAACAAGTTTTGGCTTATGGTTTGGTGCTCCAACTCTTGATCTTAGTGATGGCCCCACACCCCAAGACAATATTTTCACAGTAAGTAGTTCTCTTCCTCAAAAGAGAAGACAGGGCAAAAGGGGGGGGGGGCTTTGGTTGGGCAGTGTTTCACTGTTATTGTGTAAGGGTTACAACTCTTTTCCTTTGTAATAGAGAATTTTTAATATTTGAAATGTTTGGAATGTAGAATGATGAATGACATGTAAGCTTAACTTTTCATAGTGGTTATTTACTGCATGTTATCAGTGTAATTGCTTATATATGACATACCTATTAAAAATTACTTTTCAAAAAATAAATAAATTACCAGCCGTTTTATTGGGTGTTGATAGTGGAGATGATGATCTCATTGACTCTTTATGGTGTCTATGTTTTGGGCAGGGTCTACGTTGCTCTATGATGTGCAGGGAAGGATTTCCCAGGAAGCCAGCAATGATCTGTGCATTTTGTTCTCTAAAGTCTGGTGCATTTGGACAGGTGAGTTAAATGTATGAAACTTGTGTTTTACTGCATTAAAACTCTATTCTTACCTTTCTTTCAAAGAACCTGTCACCTAATGCATGGTTTCATCAGGATAGTCTGTTACTTTTCATCCTAAGGGTGCGGAGTGTCTTGATGATCAAATACCGATTTCAGTTGTAATGGTGATTATAATAAACAATTTCTGTGTACTGATCCATTTCTGCTTGGCTTGACCACTTATAGCTTTCTTTACCTGTGCAGGCTAAAATAAGTTATTGGTAGCAACAAAGATTCTGTATTCATCATTTGTTACTTTTTATTTTTCCCTGTCCTCGTTCTTTCTTTCTTGGTCAATTCTTTTCAAATTTGTCTTCACTTTGTAACTGTTGCTTGCTGTGTGTTTTTCTGCCCTTATCTCACTTTTGTTGTTTACTTTATTACCTTTCCCATTCCTCTTCAAGCAAATCCTATTTGTAATATCTGTGTTTTCGTTATAGTTTTTTCCCAACAGCCAGAGCTGTGCTGTGTGTGGTTCACATGCTGCCTATATGGGTAAAGAGGCCTTTCAGTGTCCTCAACACTACAGGTAACAACAGGACTTTTCCTCAGCAAGACATTTCCAACCCTATACCTTTTTTTTTTTTTTTTTAACATATTCTCTCTTTCTAGCCATGGAAGAAATGATTGTCTGGTTTGTAAAAATATCATCCTGGGCCCACAGTCTCCAATGCCAGCCTTGCTGTGTAACACATGTGGCTTCTTACAAACTTGTATTGCTCTCAAGACATAACTCGCTCTTTTATTCTTTGAATGTTTGATAGTGAATTGAACTCTTGACTTCAACAATAACCACAATTTCAGATGCGTCAACTGATATTTAATGCATATAACTGTAACTCCTTTTTTAATATTGTATTTTTAATCTTTACTCTGTCTCATATAATAAAGACACATGCCATCATTACTTCATTTTAGTATACTTTTTTTTTTTTAATTCCCTTTCCACATCATCTTACATCTTCTATTGAATTAGTTAATATTCGCTTATTCTGCTAAAGTCAGAACTTGGCTATTTTAGCCAAAATTTACAATTCGATTTACATTTCACTAAAATTCGGTGCTTACACTCTGCTGTTTATAGTACATACAAGCAAGAGTTAACAAGCACAGACATTTGTGTGACATCTGTTTTGTCTTTCTTTGCAATAAATCGTGAATCTCCTTAAAATCTATCCCAGTAACAACTGTCATTGCGCACTTATAGACAAGTAAAACAAGGCAGCTTTTTATAGAATTAAACAATGTCATAGAAGAGACTTGTATTGTGTGGAAAGAAGTGTGACAGAGACAATGTTGTTCTCAATTCCATAATGTAGAATCTACAGATGGGATTATGTGTGATTAGAAGTTCATTACGGGCACTTTAATACCACAAGGAACTTGGTAATTGATTTATGGACAGTTCTCAGCACTTACTTGGGTCTCCTGATAATTTTCCATTCCATTGTAGCATACCTACAACCCAGGCTATTATTTCCCGAGTAAGCTGAGAAGAATGGAGTCGAGCAGTAAGTGGATAAGACTGTAATGGAGGTAGATGTCAGACCAGCCCAGTCAATCTTTACAGTAATTGCTTGTGAAACCTTGTTATCTAATAAGACAAATCGTTTCTCATCACTTCCCTGCTTATGGATCCCTAGAGATTCAGAGATGAACGGGTACAGAAAGACCGTAGAAAGGAGAGGCCAAGAGAAATCTATAACCACAATGACACTGGTAATCTGCAAAATGCAGGGAAACCTGGAAAAAAAATACAGAGAAGCTATGGGTCCCTACAGAATACAAAATTCATAGAAATTTAAAAGGCAGGGATGTTTTGTATCATAGAAAATCAGCCATGTTAAGGGACTCTGAAAAGACAGCAGGATACTTTTTCAAGGTAGGGAAGGGTTAATAAACATATGACATGAGTGCCACCACTGGCTATCAGAGGCCTTTGAGGTGGCCTCAGTTTCTTTCTGCAGGATAGTCATCAGTACTGGCAGTCCTTGTTTTCATGAACCATGACATCATCTAATTACCTGTCATGCCTAGTGCTGACATTATAGAGCATCAAGTATGTTAGGCTGGTAAGGAGGTCTCATATGAAGATGTAGTTACTGCATATTGAAAATAAAACTTGGAGACCGGGAGAAGAGGGTCCAAGAGGTGGGACACGGAAGGAGGAGTTAAGGATTGGGGAAGTGGAATGAGCTCAACAAAAAATGGAAGGGACAAAAAGCATGTGTGGGGGTACAAGAAAGCAAAATGTTATGGAAGGAAATGTCAAATGGAGAGAATTGGGAATTTTAGATCTGTGACTTGATTTGTGCAAAATGTATTCCAGCTAATCACATGACCCTTGTGATTATTTAGCTAGGAGGATATTGAAGTAGATTTATGAATGGCTACTTTTAGATTTTACTAATAAAATTATGTTTTATTATATTTTATTAGAATATTTGAAACATTCATTATGTCACACTGAAAATCTTAAAAAAGAAAAAGAGAGATGATCCCTCCTTAGAAATGATTAACTATTTTCAATACTTTACATGATAATTTACATTATTTCTCCAATGAAACAGTAACACAGTAACATTTTTCACTATTTCTCATTATACACTTTGCCTTCTCCTTTTTTACATTTGATAGAAATGTGAAGAAACCATGGCTGAGATACTATATATATAATTTTACTTTTACTTGCTCTGTTATCTTAGCCAGTTCAAACACATGCCATCACAACCAAATTAATAACCTTCCCACTGAATTGTAATTGTGTTTTATGCAAATTTGCAGTAATTATAATTAAAAAAGGTAAATTTAAATCAAACATACTACATTTCACACAAAGCTATACTAAATGGATTAATCTTTCAAGACCACCATTTTATACTCTCTAATACATATAAAATAGTTTACATATTTAGAATTCAAAATTGATTTTGTTTGAAATCGCTTTTATCTTGAGATGAGATGGATAATTGCTAATTATTTTGAAGTAACAATTTGTATATATTCTATTAATTTGAACAACCCATTTATATTGAATATTCCTGTTCCTCTAAAGTGATGTTCATTAAACTTGCCCTCAGTACCCAACAACAGGGTTTAAAGAAGCACGGATAAGACATTAAAAAAATGACTGAACTATGTAGAAATTTGGATTTTCTGGCTACTAAGCTCCTAAAGACAGATTTAAAGGACACCTCTACAATATGTTTCCCGTTATTCTCGAGCACCTCCCTGGAGTGCATATGTTATTGATATCACTTTTAAACAAAGATAGAAAATTCTTAACCCTTAATGACAACTTGGCAGATGAGTAAAAGAGATTCCCAATCCCTTGTCATAAAAGGGTAGAAATCTCCGCGATTAGGGGGTTCATGTTGCCTAGCATAGACTGCGTTTGCAGATCATTTGTTTTTACATGCTTACTTAGTCTTGAAATGGTAACTTTTTGTGTACATGATTTTTTATTTTATTTTCTAGATGTTTATTTTGTGGTTTTAAAATGTTGCCTTTGTAATATAAATTTTAATGAACAGACATACTGTGAACACTGTCATTAATCTAATACTATCCTTCCGTTTTGTGTCACTTTACCCCACTCCCTCTAGCATGTAAGCTCATTGAGCAGGGCCCTCAACCCCTCTGTTCCTGTGTGTCCAACTTGTCTGGTTACAACTACATGTCTGTTCGTCCACCCATTGTAAAGCGCTGCAGAATTTGTTGGCGCCATATTAAAAATAACATAATAATAATAACACATTCATTTCTATACTCTATCTTATAAATAAAGACAATTTAATATAAGAGGAGAATACAGATCGGGGTAGACAAAATGAGAGGCTAATCTACTTCCAATGTTATATTAACTGCAGGAAATGGTAATATTGTTAATTAACCCTCCATATAGGTTTACAAGAATCAGGTTAAATATTATAGCGTGCCATATTTACAGAGTCTGATAATTTGCCTGTCCCAGACTCCATCTGCAGGCATTAATAGAATCAATAAGGGTTACCAGATCCACTATGTTTTTCCATGTTCACAAAACCCAGAATTGCCCTGCAGCTTTTGTTAAGAAGCTGCTTCTCAAACAGATGTAACATGTAAATAAGCCATGCTGTACCTGTTTTCACAGCAGCACGCAGATTGTTAGACATTTTAACACTTACTATAGAATGCAATTTAACAAATATGATGGATTTTACTTCCTGCTTTGATATCAACTAAATTTCAGTTGAGAAAACTGTAGCAGCCTGTTCACTCCTCAATGTTAATGCATACCTCCTGAGTGTCCCACTTTTTGAAGGTGAGTACTTTTTTGCCACTGTCCCTCTTTGTTTTGTCTGGTGTCTTACGAATATGATCTTAGAATGATTAGTCGCATGTGTGTAAAAGAACTATGCAGAAATAAATCATGTGAGTATATGTGTGAACTGAGATTGTGTATACATTTGTCTCAATAAAATACTGTCTTTGTAGTAAAATAGCCCAATTACATCACTAGCTACAAAAAGATGACCGTCACCTAAGAGTTCTCCCCACTCTGTAGTCAAAAGTGTCTCTATTTCGTCTTTAGTGATGTTGGGATATAGGGCAGGACACATTAATTTGAAGGTTCATGTGCCTTTTACCTTATTCCTTTTTGCTTTGTGTATTAGAAGTAAGAGAGTCACACTGTGTCTGTGACCTGTCACCATTGTATGCTCTGGTCTTCAAGGAAGGGTAAAAGGGTAGTTGGAGAGCACGATATCGATAAACCCCATGAAATATTTGGTTTGCAATTTCTGCAATCACTCAAGCTACTTTACTATTTACACTTTATATCTTTGCTTTCTCTGCCACCCTACAGCATCGGTCCTGTGCACTTGCATCAGTGATATGGTTTCCATTGTCACTAGAACAATGTGTGTCATGCTCTTCACCCTCCCACCAATGCTATGCCCCTCACCCTGTTATTCCCTTGAGCATACAGTTGGCATTGAAACAAATAATAGCAATGTTATCAATTTCTTTCATTTTTAATTTCGGGTTGACGAGGACAGAGCTTTCAAAGTATCAGCTTCCAGGAGGCTGCTCTGTCCCTTCCAATGTTGTCTGCGTATGTCCCTCTGGTGATACTCTCCTGTCATTTTCGGGGCTACTGTCTCTGTATGCAGATTCTTGAGGAGTGCTAAGAGATTGAGAAGTAGCGCAGGACTGCGGGGAGCTAGCTGAAGTTAGATTTGGTGGGCTTGGCTCCTGCCCCTTCCCCTTCCGTACCTGCAAGGGAAAGTGTATGAAAACAGGAGTGAGTTATTCTTAATTACCTAGCTTTACTGTATTAAATAGTAATGCAGACAGGCATAAACATTTATACAAAGAGCATTCACACATCTTTGTTTCTGGTGTTATCCAAATGAAGGCCACAACCATAGAATTCAAATTTATGTTGTAAAATAGGTAAATATCACTCTTGATGCCCAAAAAAAAAAAAACAGTCAGATTTTGTCTTGGCTCAAGAAACTGTAAAACAGCATGTATATAATATTATGGCATATATTGATCAGCCACAACATTAAAACTACTGACAATGACACCTATCAAGGGGTAGGATATATTAGGCAGCAAGTGAACAATTAGTTCTTGAATGTCATGTGTTGAAAGCAGGAAAAATGGGCAAGCGAAAAGATCTGATTATACAAGGGTCAAATTGTGAAGGCTAGATGATTGGGTCACAGCTTCTCCAGATGGGAAGTCTTGTATGTGTTCCCGGCATGCAGTGGTTAGTACCTACCAAAAGTGGGGCAAGGAAGGAGAACCGGTGAAATTATGTAAGGGTCATGGGTGCCCAAGGCTCATTGATGCATGTATGGAGTTAAGGCTAGCTCATCTACTCCAGTCATACATAAGAGCTACTGTAGCTCCAATTTCTTAAAAACTTAATGTTAAACCATGATAGAAACGTGTCATTACACAAAGTGCATCACGGTTTACTGTGGAGCCGCATACCAGTCAGATTGTCCATGATGATACCAGTTCACCGCTAAAAGCTCCTTCAAAAGGGATGTGATCGGCAGAACTGGACCATGGGGCAATGAAAGAATGTTTCCTGGTCTGGTGAATTATGTGCCAGATGGCCAGTTGCGTGTGCCGTTCACCTGGGAAAGAGATGGCAGCAGGATATACTATGGGAAGAAGGCAGGCTGGTGTGGACAGTGTTATTCTCGGGCAATGTTCTGTCCTGGTATTCATGTGGATGTTACTTTAACATTTGCCACTTTCCACCTACCTATAGATTGTTGCAGATAACGTACAACCTTTCATGGTGATGTATATGTGTGTATGGCAATGGTGTTCCCTGATGGCAGTGGCCTCAGCAGGATAATGCACACTGCTGCTCTGCAAAATGTGTACAAATGGTTTAAAGAACATGTCAAAGAGTTCAAGGTGTTGCCTTGGCCTCCAAATTACCCAGATCTCAATCTGAGTGACCATCTGTAGGATCTGTGAAACAACAAATCCGATCCATGGCGGCCCCACCTCGCAACATGCAGAACTTAAAGGATCTGCTGCTAATGTCTTGGTGCCAGATACCATAGGACACCTTCAGAGGTCTTGTGGAGTCCATGCCTTAACGCATCACAGCTGTTTTACAGCACAAGGGGAGCCTACATGATTTTAGGCGTGAGTCACATGCAATAAACCATTATTGGTCTTTCTCTCCATCCTGCTGCTCTCACACAGAGCCTGAGCATCCTCCTTCCTTCCCCTTGCAATCATTGCTTTCCCTTATGCTGAAGGCAAGACGAGTGGAGCCCTCAGGAGGGTTTCCCTTAAAACGGACATTCAGTGCACAGCCTTCTGATCTCTGTGCCGAGTAGCACAGCCTGAATTGACTGACACGAGGGGAAAATACAGTTTTGTTTTGTTTTTTATTTCAGAGAAATCTAGACTTTTGCTAGCAATTATAGGTATCTAATATGTACAATCATGTTAATGAAAAGGGCATGGGGGTGTGTGTGTTTTTATATATATATATATATATATATATATATATATAATGAATTATTGTTATAATAGACTAATGTGTAAAAGTTTTACACAGGTGTGAAAAATGCGTTCACTAAGAAATGTTAATAGATTATTTTTAGCACTTAATAAAATTCACATATCTCTCAAAATAACCAGGTGGTGGACCTAACATAATAATACATTGTAGCTGGTCTATTAAAATGGGAATTGGGGGCGATTGACAGACGAACTTGAAATTCTAAGACACAATTGCTGAGCTGCAACAATCTTCATCTCAGCTATTTTCCATCTTAGTTACTTTAGCTAAAAATATGCATCCCAATTAGTTCTCTATAAACTCTAATTTAGTCAAAAAAAAACCTTAGTTCTTTTTATTTTAAAGGTATAGTATATTAAGCATGATTTCTTTCCTTTTATTCCATCTCAATGCAAACCTGCTTCTTACCAATCTTCTTCTTACATTTGTATTTTTAACTGTCATTTCCACCCCTTATGTAATTATACCTTCTGCTTATCGTTCTCTTCCTTCCATCCACACTCTTTTGACATGGTTTGATTTCCACCATGAATTCTTAACAATTTGTTTGTCTGTTATTACCCATATAATATACATGTTTCTCTGTACATCTCTTTACCTCGTCGTATTTCCGCATGCTGTACATGTTGTTCTTGTTCATGAATGTCAGTAATATCCAGTCGCAGAGTACAGATCCCTGGTAGAGGATTGACAGATTATTCACAAGTAACAGGGGAACACACTTTGTACATCATGCATGTTTAAAATGTAATAGAACATTCACACAATTACCACTCCATCAAACTAGGCTTCAATGGCCATTACCAATAAACAATGCAATTGGGTAAAAGGTCAGTAGTTAAATTATAAGCTGAACAAATGTATTTAGTACCACTGGCGGATCCAAAGTCTTATCTCGGGAGAGGCACTCATAGATTATTTAAAGAAACTTTCCAGGCACAATAACCACAACAGCTTTCTGTAGTGGTTTTGGTGCCAGGAGTGCCGTGGTGCCCTCCTAGAGTAAATAGTCAAACTGTTTAAGAACAGTTTGACAATTTACCTGGGGTCTGCCAGGATAGGGGCTGTAGTAGGGAATAGGGCCTCTAGTAATGTGTGTGTGTGATGCAGGGTGGGTATGGGAGGCAGTGTGTGAGGGGTGCAGAGTGTGTGTATGGGAGGCAGTGCATGTGGGACAGTGTGTGTATGGGGGTGCAGTGGGAGCACTGTGTGTAGGAGGCAGTGTGTGTTAATGTGAGTGGTGTAGTGTGTGCATGGGAGTGCAGTATGTATATGTGGGGTGCTGTGGGAGCACTGTGTGTGTATGAGGGTGTAGTGGGGGCAGTGTGTGTATGGGAGTGCAGTGTTTGTGTGGGGGAGCACTGTGTGTATGGGGGTGTAGTGTGTGTGTGTGTGTGTGTGGGAGAGAAGTGTATGGTGGTGCAGTGTGTGGGGGTGCAGTGTTTGTATGGGGAGCACTGTGTATATGTGGGAAAAGTGTATGTGGGTGCAGTAGGTGTGTGGGGTGCAGTGTGTATGGAGGAGAAGTGTGTGTGGGGGGGTGCAGTGTGTATGGAGGAGAAGTGTTTGGGTGCAGAGTGTATGGAGGAGAAGTGTGTGTGGTGCAGTGTGTGTATGGGGGGCTGTGGGGGAAGTGTGTGTGTAGTTGGAGGGGGCAGAGCAAAAACATTTTTTTAATTAAAAATACATTCTTTTATATTATTTATATCCCCCCTCCCTTCTTACCTTTGCCCAGGGAGGGGGGATATTATTTCCAATCCCTGGTGGTCCGGTGGAATCCTGGTGGTTCTAGTGGGGAGTGAACTCTAGCCTGCACCTCCTGAGGCTAGAGTTCACTCTCGCGAGAACGGAGCGTTGCCGTGGTAACCGCGGCAACGTTCCGTGCTCGCGAGAAGAGACCCGGCAGAGCTCAGCCGGAGGTAAGAGCTCCCAGGTCTCCTCTTCCTCCTCCCTCCCTGCTGGCCGCCCAGCAATGTGCCTGCAGACCGGTGAGGGAGATCTTTGCTCTACCCTCTGGTCCACGAAGGCATTTAGCAGGGCCGACACTTGGATAGCACCGGCCCTGCAGGAGAGCGCATCGGATCTCGGGGAGGGGGGCAATTGCCCCTTTGCCCCCCCCCAGATCCACCACTGTGTAGTACCAATGCTGAACTACATGATGAAGATGTAACTATAGTCTGGAAATCTATGAAAAGGAGCTTAATCAGATAATCCATTTAACCTAACCCCTAGAGTAATATTCTATTTGCCATAGCTATACAGACCAGCTATTTATACTCTTGACAGTGCCTCTCCAGTGACCAGTCATCAATATGTGTCTATATCAGGGATTTTTCACTTTAATATATATACCACTGGACATGTAGGTAAAATATTCTAGAATATCTGAATTTGTCAAACATTCTTGTTTTATACATGATAAGATTACCGACTGCATGTGGGTGCAAAAAGGGAGCATGTACTTACTACACCAATAGATGTTAGTGCTGTGGCCAGGTTAATGATGGTTGGGATAAGACTGAATTTCCCAGCCTGAAAGACAGAATAAATTAAGTTATCTTATAAAGTAAACTTCTTCCTCGCAATATAAACTGGTCAGTAATACTTATATTTTTGCAAAAAAATGGCTAATCCCAGCATCCTTATAAAACCATTACTCCAACCAAAAACCAGTGATTTCATAAAACTTTGGTAATTTTTTTTTTAATGCTTTTTTTTTTCTTTTTTTAACCCCAAGGCCAAGTTTTGCCTCCCACTGAGAAAGAGAGGTCAGGAAGGATAGACAGACATGGTGAGACATGGGGACAATGAGACACTTGGGGGCACTGAGACACTTGGGGACACTTGTGGATACAGACACGGGAGACACTGGGAGACACAGACATTTTGGGACCCTAAGATACTAGGGACACTGAGATATGGGAACACAGACACTGGGAGACTAGGGGACACTGGAAGAAATGGGGACACAGACACTGGGAGACATGGGGACACAGACATTTGGGGACCCTAAGATACTAGGGACACTGAGACATGGGAACACAGGCACTGGGAGATTAGGGACACTGGCTGGGAGGCATGGTGACACTGAGACATGGGGGCACTTGTGGACATAGACATGGGGACACTGACAAATTTGGGGACACTGGGAGACATGGGCCACTGGGGCCATGGGGACACAGACATTTGGGGACCCTAAGGTACTAGGGACACTGAGACATGGGAACACAGGCACTGGGAGACATGGGGACACTGAGACACTAGGGACACTGGCTGGGAGGCATGGTGACACTGAGACATGGGGACACTGAAAAATGTGGGGACACTGGCTGGGACGCATGGTGACACTATGAGACATGGGGGCACTTGTGGACATAGACATGGGGACACTGGGAGACATGATGACACTGGCTGGGAGACATGTGGACACTGGGAGACATGGGGACACAGACATTTGGGGACCCTAAGATACTAGGGACACTGAGACATGCGAACACAGACACTGGGAGACTAGGGGACACTATGAGACATGGGGGCACTTGTGGACATAGACATGGGGACACTGGGAGACATGATGACACTGGCTGGGACGCATGGTGACACTATGAGACATGGGGGCACTTGTGGACATAGACATAGGGACACTGGAAGACATTATGACACTGGCTGGGAGACACGGGGACACAGACATTTGGGGACCCTAAGATACCACGGACACTGAGACATGAGAACACAGGCACTGGGAGACTAGGAGACACTGGGAGACATGGAGACACTGAGACACTAGAGACACTGGCTGGGACGCATGGTGACACTATGAGACATGGGGGCACTTGTGGACATAGACATGGGGACACTGGGAGACATGATGACACTGGCTGGGAGACATGTGGACACTGGGAGACATGGGGACACAGACATTTGGGGACCCTAAGATACTAGGGACACTGAGACATGCGAACACAGACACTGGGAGACATGGGGACACAGACACTACGGACACTGGCTGGGAGGCATGGGGATACTGTAAGACATGGGGGCACTTGTGGACATAGACATGGGGACACTGAAAAATTTGGGGACACTGAGAAACATGGGGACACTGAGACACTGGCTGGGAGACATCGGGACACTGGGAGACATGTGAACACTGGCTAGGAGACATGTGGACACAGACATTTGGGGACACTTGGAGACTAGGGGACACTGGGACATAGGGACACTGGGAGACATGTGCACAGTGGCTGGGAGACGTGGACACAGACATTTGGGGACACTGGTAGCCATAGGGACACTGATACACTAGGGTCACTGGCTGTGAGACATGGGGACACTGTGTCCCTAGTGTCTCCGTCCGTTTCCGTTTCCCAATGTGTCTCACAGCATCCCCATGCCTCAGTGTGTCTCTGTGTTACCTAGTGTCTCAGTGTTCCCATGTTTCCCTGCTGCTCCCCCCCCCAATCCTTCACTTCCCTGAGCTGTAGTCTGTCTCTGCAGGTTGGGAGCTGCTATCTGAACTCTCTGTGCTGTGTAGCTGCTCCCCCACGGATCAGTGAGTAGAGAGAGGCAGGGAGGGAGATGCTGTAACTTCCTATCCCTGCCTCTCTCCACACACAATGACCCCTACTGGTTGGTGCTGGTATTGCAGAGTAATCTCCGTTTATACTGAGAAAAATATCTGCATTTGTATTGCCGGTATTACTGCAATACCGACACGGCCAGGCAGCCTTAAATATCGGCTGTGCTGGTAAAATACCAGTCAGGTGGCAAACCCAAGAGTAGTGTGTAGAATTTTTTTTAAATGGGCCTGGAGCTGCAGCTCCATTAGCCCCTATGTTAATCTGGCCCTGCCTGTGTGCACTTCATAGTATACCCTGTCATTATGTGCGCCTTCCACCCCCCCTTTTGTTCTTGTTAACTGTGTAATCCGATCATTTTCAACGATATCTCTCTCTCTCTCAACCAACTAATGCAAGGTGCATGACTATTTGAAAATGAACTTCAAATTCATGGTGGTGATGTTGGAAAGGATCTAGACATTTTGAAGATTCTATGTTAGGCTTCTCCATCCTTATTGCCCCACTGTATATGTGATCCCTACCTCTCCATGGACAATCACGTCAATACGAATTCCATACACCTTGATGAGGGTGCGAGACTCTGTACCATTCTTTTTGTAATATTTGGCATATCTGAATGAGTAGAAAAAGTGAAGCAAAAGACTGAAACAGGGGGAGCAAGAACACACATCCATAAACTAAACTCCAAACTATAGGTAAATAAATTAATATAAACTCATACCAAATGAGTTGTCAATGCAAATGTAAATTATATTGGCTATTGGCTCTTTCCAATGGTGATAAAATAAAATGAACATTTAATAAGAAATACGAAAACAATATGTTTTTGTGCATCTTAACAATATTATCAGGTGGTGGAAATTACAATATGCTAATAATTTAATATATCCACAGAATGAGGAATATAGTTCAAATCGGTTTGAAAATTTTTTAAATGGGTACCTTTGCTCAAAGTTCCAATTACAATAAAAAGAATCCATAAAACAGTGCATGATGGTATCACATCACTATGTGACTATGCTGGATATGGTGACATCATAGTATGCTGTCAGGCTAGCGCAATAAATAGGTCATTGAAGCACTAAAGGAGGTAAGATAAAGTAAACGAACACAAGCTCTTGATGAAGTCCGGATGAAATGCATTGAGTTACTTGTGCCACACGAAGCACCTTGCCTGAAAGACCCAAGTCACATTTTGCAGTGCATGAGTTGGCAGACTGGACTGGAGATCTGAGAGCCCATTAGGCCAACGTTGTTTTGCCCATTGTTATGGCCATACTATTTATTAGTGATACTGCTTTTTATTGTTTTATTGCAGTCAAAACTGACTGCGATATATAATTTTTTTCTCTCTTCTTTTTAACAAAGTTAACCAACCAAAAATGTTCAGCCAAGGTATTTGTATTATATTCTTCATTCTGTGAGTGTATTGTTATTTTCAGAGCTTGGTGGTGGCGTTTAATTTTAGAAAACATTTTTTTCCCCTTTATTTATTGTTATATACATTTGGTTTGAACCACTGGAAATTGGTATATACATTAAATCATTCTATTTATCAAGTCAATTTGTAGGCCACGTTATTGGGTAGTTAACAAGATTTACTATCCTACTTAATTTACTATTATTTAGTTAACTGCCTACAAACTGAACTGGACGAGTTCTATTTTAAAGCATCCACATCAGCCTGACTGACCTTAAAGGTATCCGTATTATTTCAAGAATCTGAGCTAGAACTAATTTTTCATAATTTTCTTATGTCCAAGGCTAACCAAAACAACGCATAACTTGGTGCACTAAGGAGCACAAAGCCTGGACCTTGAGCACAAGGAAATTAATATCTCCTGATGAGTTATCTTTCAACCGATATTTAAGATCCAGCAAAAATTTAAGCTTGAAAAGAGCCAAAGGATGCTTTCAGCCAAATGTCTGTAGAAAGCTGCTAAACTAGTATGGGAAGACTGTGGGTATAGTTGTAGATTTTATTAACTATACAATAAATTGTGGGGAATTGAAAGCTTTTTTTTTTTAAATTTAGGTCAAAATAGCTACAATGGAAAAATTCTCAATTTTTTTTTTATATTTCAATTCACCACAATTCACTGTTTATTAAATAGGCCTTAAAGCCTAAAAATTGTTCAACATGTTTGTAGACCAGCCAAATAATACAAATAATACAAACCCATTTTTCCTTTTCTTGAGCACATGTGATAATATCTCTATATACAGTGCTAAACAAATCCAAGAGTGGTTTCATGAGCTCTAGGATGCCAAATGTAAACTTTGACCCGGAACCTCACAGCCAGCAGACACATTCCACCCAATCAGCAGCAGACCCTCCCTCCCAGGAAGTGTCTGCGGACTGTGAGGTTCCGGGTCAAAGTTTACTCAATGATGACGTATAGGTGGCGGACCGGAAATCGGATATGTTCGCCTAACGCGAACACGCTATTGTTTGCCAGCGGACAGTTCGCGAACAGTTCGGCGGACAGTTCGCGACATCTTTAGTTTTGACCCAGCTTGCTCTCGACTCGTCTGATTTCCCTGACTCGGCTTCTTTCCTTGTTATTGTGTATTTCTGGCTTCACTTGACCTTGGCTTGTTTTTGACATTTCTTGTAGTTTTTTTCTTTTATCTGGCCACTCTAAGGACTGGCTTAGGGACTTTCTTTCTGTCTCTGTTTCTACTGGTGGATTTTCACTCTGCGTGTTGGGATAATCATTACACTCACAGTGCAAAGTGCATTTCCACTTTCTTCTTTCCCCCAAAAATAACATGTCTAAGAGAATGTTAAAGAGCAATTTCATATTATCATTGATGATATGGGCTGTAAGCGATATTTCTGAAATGTACTAAAGACCACCAGGGCTATTCACTAAAGTCTTAATGGCTGATTTGCTTGGTCTGGCCAATAGAGTTTATTAAATAGAAAACATTCTAACAGTATAAGCAATATCTACACCTATACCTGTAGTTGTATCCAGAGGACACTTTGCTCTGCAAGTCAAGTCTTCGGAATGAATATTGTGGATGACAATTTGAAGGATGCAAATCTAAATTACAATTCCAGTTAATGATAACCCCTATAATTCCACCCTATGCAGAAAGACAGAAATGTTTAGAAACTGTTCACCTAAACAAAACAAGACCATCTCACATGTTACTCATTGCCAGCTGTACAATGCATTTTTTCAATCCATTTATCTTTACTGAATTGGTTGCGTTTATTATAAAAGTTAGTTCAAATAAATAAATTTATACTCTGGAAATTACGATGTTCCCTTAGAGCAGGGATCCTCAAACTTTTTAAACAGGGGGCCAGTTCACTGTCACTCAGACACGGTTGGGGGCCGGACTATAGTTTGAAAACAGACACATACTAACATACATACAGACACACACACACACATACACACATACATACTGAAATACATACACATACATTTAGACATACACATACATACAAACACATACAGACAGACAGACAGACACAGACATACATACTGAAATACATACAAACATACACATACTGACATACATACATACATACAAACACACAAACACATACATACAGACAGACACATACTGACATACATACAGATACACACACACAGACACACTGATATGCATACTGAAAAACGTACACATACATACATACAATACATATTGAAATATATAAACATACATACAGATACATACATACACATACTGACATACATACAGATAGATACATACACATATATAGAGACACATACTGACATACATACATACATACATACTGAAATACATACACATAGACACACAGACATACATACTGACATACATACATACATACATACTGAAATACATACACATAGACACACAGACATACATACTGACATACATACACATACATACTGAAATACATACACATACTGACATACATACAGACACATACATACATACACATAACTAATTTTTTTTACCTTTTTTTTTTGCAGGAAGGTGGCTGTGGCTGATGGGAGTGGGCGTGGCTCTCCCGTCCTTGTGGCCTGGGTGTGTCTCTCTTCCCTCATGCGAAGAGGGAGCTGGGAGGAAGTGACCGACCGTCGCTTCCTCCCAGCACTACTTGCGGCCGCAATTTTTTAAAGGGGCCCGGTTGCGCTATTGCACACCTGCAGCGCTGACCGGACCCCTAAAGATATAGGGCTCATCGGGTGGCCCTGAATGCTGGGGCCGGGTTCAGGACCCTGGGGGGCCAGATCCGGCCTGCAGGCCGTAGTTTGAGGACCCCTGCCTTAGAGGAACACATTTCTCTGCCATGAATCTATTCACTCATTTAATATCTGTAAAAATCCTGAAAATGACAGCTACCTCTCTCTTTCCAAAGTAAAGGTAGTGTCGGTGGATCACACCAGGCTTTGCAGTGATGGGTAATGGAGTATATGAGTTCTCCCATTTAACTATTAGCACTATATTAGCATTCCAGCAATTGTTAAAGAAAATATTGCTATTGCACTTTTTAAAAATCTTATTTTAGAACTATAAGGTTTTTTTTTTATACTTCCTGATTTGTGGATATTAAGTTCAAATGTGGACATATGTTTTACATTCTCAGTTATTTTAGTAAGCTGTAATGATAGTAATGCCTTACAAATACCTATACACAGGATTTTATTTATCTATTTTCATCACGCTTGCTTCATGTGAGAAATATTGTATTTTGGTTTCATACTAAAAAATGTATGAAATGTTCTAATATAACTCACTTACAAAGGACAGTGTAGTCACCAAAACTACTTTAACTCAATGAAGCAGGTTTGATGTATGTATCATGGCCCTGCAGTCTCACTGATTAATTCTCTGCCATTTAGGAGTTAAATCGCTTTGTTTATACAGCCCTGTGTACACCTTCCTGCATTTGACTTACATAGCCTTTCTAAGCACTTCCTATAAAGAGTCCTAATGTTTACATGTTCTGTTTAATTTAGAATTTCTTTTCTCTGTAAATAGCTTGCTAGACCCTGCAGAAGCCTTCTGTGTGTGCTTCAAGTTCAAATTACAGAGCAAGAGATAAAAACTTCTAAGATAACATCTGATTGAAAATGAAACCATTTTATTTATGCAGGGTGTGTGTGAGTCACAGCCAGGGGAAGTGTGGCTAGGGCTGCATAAACAGAAAAAAAGAGTGATTTTACATCTAAATGTCAGAGAATTAAGCAGTGAGACTGTAGGGACATGATCTATACACCAAAACTGCTTCATTAAACTAAAAAGTTGTTCTTGTGCTTATAGTGTCCCTTTAAAAGCTTAATATTATTGACGGTTCCTAATAAAACACACAATTTCCCTATATACTTTTCATGTCTGACCTTATATGCTATTTCTGTGAAGTTGACACCAGCCTCACTCACAATGAAGCCCACGGTGAATATGGGACATGAAGGTGAGGAGATGGGATGATAGGTGCAGTTCCTCAAGAAATCCTGCCCCTCTATGTTGCCCCTAAAGTGGATAAATGAGTAATGGAAACGTAAAAAAAAGAAGGTAACTTTGTGAAATTATTATGAAAGGAACAGTCAAATGCATAATATGGTAAAATAAGTTAAAACTTTAATTATTTTATGTTAAGTCCATGGTTCTATATGGCATTTGATTTAAACGGCCTGATGATTACCGTCATCATTACGTACTAATAGGCTTAGCATGTCTCAAAGGTGTTCAATCAGTCAATCCACAGAATGAGTGAAAACACAGAGTTAAAAGCTCTAAGACAATTTCTATGAAAAATTATTCATGATTGCGCAGTAAAGTTAATTTTATTTCTCCATCAAAGTGCTGCTCAGCACTTATTGGAAAATAATGTGAAGCTGTACTGTACACACTGCCAAGAAATATTTAACAAATCATTTGGCATTATTGCATTTAAAGATCAACAATCAAAGACGCAAGAGAGGGGTCACAAAAAATAAAGAGGAAAGTCCCATGGGTTACTTGAGTGTTGCAGAATGTTTTTCGATAGGATTTGGTACTGTTGCCAGGACAATGTACCTTCTAAGCTGTGAATGCTTTATAAGTAGGTCATCTTATGAAGCTTCTTCTAAATAATATTTAAGTTACATGACTAATCATATCCAGTTTCTATAGGGCAGTATTCTAAATTCATGGTATACAGTGTAATAGTGTATCTGCTTGATATATTAAAACTTAATATATGGCCTATTTACAGCTTGTTACAGAGCCAAGATCACCTTAAATACCAGTTATATCCTTTTATTCTAGGGATTTGGTCTCTGCATCCACATTAAATAGACTGGTACCATTATACTTATATTGTATATATATATGTAGTTATATGTTATGTTTTGTTTTCCCTTGTCTTTTTGTCAATACTTCGTTCACTAAAGACCTAGTTCTCATGTTTTTTTATGTCTATGTGACAGTAATTTATTGATTCTGTTCACTTTTGTATTACTATATTTTCTATTTCTTATCAGATATCTGATAAAGGTTACGTTTTATTTCTGATTTCGTGGTCAGGGTATTAGTCCTACTTTTGCTCTTTAAATTATTGGGTTCAAGCCCTCCCTTTCTGCCTGTTGACCTAATTAAATGCACATTTAACATGTTTTCTCCCACCCTGTCTTAAATATTAAAACTTAGATGAAAAAAAAGTTAGGCAATGCATTTGTATATTTTGGAAGTCTTGACTGTCACATCTTTCATAGGGTAAATTCATGAAAGCAATGTCCTAAAACACAAGCATTGAACACTCTCAAGCAGAACACAATTAACATAATTGATTGTCTGATTGGCTTAGTTATTTGCACAATCACACGTAGAAAGAGATTTACTACTGAAATAGGACATGCTGGAAGATGCTAAAGCATTAGATGACTCTTATAAGAGAACAGGAAAATAATTTCAATCTAGATGGGTATATTTTTGAGATGTGCAATGGTTTAACTCAACAAACAATTAAATCTTACTTGGAAAATCCAAATTGAGGAAAGTGGATAACGTTCTTGATTAAAATAGTGAAGCTTGGAACAAATTCTTGCAATGATTCACTAAAATGAGAGGGTGAGAGAGAATAAAAGGTAGAGCTAATAGGTCAATAAAAAGTGGATGAGTTTAAAACGATATAGTAAAATAAAGAGCAGTACAAAGGCTGAAACTAGACAGATATCAAAAAGAGAGTTGTAGATGGATAGAAATTCAAGGATTAAGAGAGTTACAGAGGAGAAATTGGATTCAAAAAGATTAGAGATATATGTAGAGACCGAAAAAGTGAGACAAGAACAAGTATTCTAAAGAGAGAGAAACATGATAAAAAGAGAAAGCGAGAGACTGTAAGATGAGAAGAGATAAGGTAAATATGGAAATGTGATGAAGGCATGGGAATTAGATAATATGAGTAACAAGAGACAGAAGCATGAAATCAGCATGGGCATAGTGGGTTGTATGTAAAAATTGAGAAAAATCAACAAAGAAATGGGATTTAAATTGTACTGACACCGGTTTATGTTCGATTATATAATTAAGTTTGATTTCCAGCAATAAGATTAGTCAGGCCTTGTCATTCCTGGATGTAATATGAGGAGGTAACATTGGTTTTGAGAAAAGAATTTAAGGACACTTGGGAATAATTCCATATATATTTTCAGTATGGAAACACTTTCATTATAATTTTAGCTTTTCGTCTTTTGGTATGTTGGACTCTGAATGGCTGCTCTTAAGAGCTAACAGTTTATATCTTAAAACTGGTCAAATATCAAGATATAGTTTGAACTAAACATAATTATATGTTAATACAATGTGGTGCTGAAATGTAAAAAATATGCCAGAATATGTAATATAGGTGAACTTGTAAATACAATACAAATTACCTAAATTATTGGGAAAAATCGGTGCAATCAGCAAACATTGTTTCTTTTTTCAATTCAAGGATTTGGTACAAGATTAGCTCCTTTTACATAAATCAATCCTTGATACTCAATAGATATGTGACTTTGAGGAGTACCATTAACAGTCCAATGTCAAGCAATTCACCGGTTTCCTAAATGTTATATTGTGGGTAAAGCTGAATTTTCATATTGTGTTTTTGTAAACATGGTGTTTACATAAAAAAATATTCTCGTGCAAATTTCGTCAAGTTTCTATTTTAGGACCAAATAATTGATGGTTTTAAATAATGGCAATGTGCCAGTTCTAGCATTTGAGTAAAAATTTACAGCCCATTCTTCTAGCATAGCTTTTAATTTGTCATGAGGTTGAACGGTTCACAGGCAACAGGTGTCTCCCTTCAAATACATATAGAAAACCGACCTCTACCATAATTAACTCAATATATTTTCATTACACAGGAAAGGACGGATACATGTTTTGAAGAGACAGTTTGTGGCTTGCGAGAAATCAATGGACAGACGTTATAGCATGAGTGTGGCAAACCTAGCCACTTGGGACTGCCTAAGATAGAATGGTTGTGCCTATTTTCTGTTGTGTACTGCGCGCCGGTATAGTGTGGCGTCTCCGGCTATGTTTAATTTATGCTGTACTGTGTATGTCTGTTCGAATCCTCCCCATTCGTTAGCATTGCTATTAAAACTGACTAAGTTGTTATTTTGAATAAAGTGACAGTTGAGTGACCTGCTTTAAATATCAGTCTTTTTGAATAAAGTGGCAGTTGACTCTCAGACTGTGTTTCGTCTGGTTCTTGGGAGGATTTGGGAATATTGCCTGCTTCCAGCTTTGTACTTGGTTATTGCATTCTACCAGCAGAGATCCTGGGATTATAAAATTGCAGCTCCGCAACAATTGGTGGCAAGCGGCGGGATCCAACCGTACAGCAGGAAAAACGCTGTTTATACAATTGGAATTGACATACTGGAAAGCAGAAGGCAATTGATACAGATGCAGAAGTGAATGGGGACGGACTACACCATATTGAAACGTTAAAGGAGCTGTTGGAAGCCAGGGGTAAGATAGCCAGCAATAAGCCAAAAGCAAGACTTATTGCCGAGCTAATGGAAGGAGACCGAGCTCGTAGTGCTACACCCCCAGCAAACATGGAGGAGACCCCATTTGAACGAGAAATGAGGACAAGATTGGCATTTTGGCCCGCTGCAGTATCTCCAGAAATTATGACCATAATTTCGGCGGATGCACAGGAGTACGTGATGGCGCAAATGAATCAAGCCTTCTCACCTCAAGCAGAAACCGCTGCTGTTTCAACTGTGGGCCAGGGAAGGCCAAAAATACCACATCATGCATTTAAAACTTTTTGCGAAGATAAAGACGAAATAGATGGATTCTTGCAAGATTTTGAAAGATTGTGTGACTTGCATGATGTAGAGCAAGCTATGTGGGTACCTTTGTTGGCAGGCAAACTGTCTGGGCGTGCAGCAGACGCCTACCGGGCTGTACCCAGAGAGGACAGCAAGAATTATGACAAGGTAAAGCAGGCGCTATTAGAAAGGTATGCCATTACCCCAGAGGCATACCGGCGCAAGTTCCGAGAATTGAAAAAAGGGGACAAAGACTCACATGCGGAGTGGGCACACAAGCTTGACCAAGCCTCACAAGGCTGGATACAAGCCAGCAGAGCTACCACCATGGAAGAGTTACGCCAGATGTTGCTACTGGAGCAGTTTTGTAATGGCCTGGCACCAGAGGCTCAAGAATGGGTGAATGACCGAAATCCTCACACCCTAACCGAAGCGGCACGATTGGCCGACCAACATTATGATGCTAGGAGGCATCATAAAAATAATAACCGAGGGTATGCAAAACCCAACCCGCAACCGTTTCCAGTTATTGCTCCTGCCCCAGCGACAGCCTCCCCACTCCCGTTATAATGGCAGGTCCAACATCCAGTGCCATGCCTGTAAGCAATGGGGGCACATGGCCCGGGAGTGCACCCAAAACCGGAGCCACAAGAACTGGAATCAGCTCCGGCAGAATATGGCCCCGCGGGCAGCTGCTCATTATTATCATGCAGAGCCAACTTTGCCAGGAGTGCCGCTTGAGTCGGCTGATGAACCCCTGGGCGTTTTGCACGATGTAATGTCCATCCATGCTACTGACAACCGACAACCACATTGCCAGACCGTGGAAGGGAAAGAGGTACAGGGGCTACGTGATTCCGGCGCTACCTTAACTTTGGTTGCCCCGCATTTGGTGTCAGGATCAGCACATACCGGGGGATCGGTAGCAGTCCGGGTAGCAGGGGGTGCCATGTACCAGCTACCAACTGCCAAGGTACATCTGAATTGGGGTGCGGGGGAAGGTATGGTGGAGGTGGGGCTGATGCACAAGTTACCAGCTGATGTTGTTTTGGGGAATGACCTGGGGCAAATGACTTCCGCTTTTGTGCCCCAAAGTCCTCGCCATGAGGCATATCCAGTGACCACCCATCAGCAGGCTCGCACCACGGCTTCATCTTCCACACACTCTGAGGCTCAGGTAAGAGACAATGTACCCCGTGTAACCCGTGTTTCCTGGGATACCCCGACTGACTTTGAGGCAGAGGTTAAAAACGATCCCACGTTGCAAATTTATAAGGATAAGGCGACAGCTGGTCAGACAGGTTTAGAGGGAGAACAGTATGTATGGGAGAAAAATCTGTTATATCGTGTTGCTGAGCGGGTGGTAGGGGGGTCTGTACATGTGACTAATAAGCAGCTTATAGTGCCCCAGAAATACCGGCAGGAACTGCTTAGAATTGCCCACGATATTCCGCTGTCTGGGCATTTAGGGATGACAAGAACGAGGTACAGATTGACACATGCATTTTTCTGGCCAGGTATATCTAGAGATGTGAGACAGTATTGTCAGACATGTGACATTTGTCAGAGAGTGGGAAAAAGGGGTGACCGCCACAAAGCGAAATTGTGCCCCTTCCCATTATTGAAGAACCCTTTAGCAGAGTAGCAGTGGATATAGTAGGACCACTGTCCAAGCCTAGCCCTTCCGGCAAGCGGTATATTCTGACCATTGTAGATTATGCCACCCGGTACCCGGAGGCTATAGCCCTTTCCAATATACAAGCAGAAACGGTAGCCGAAGCTATGATGAAGATATTTTCCAGGATGGGATTTCCCCAAGAGATAATTTCGGATAGGGGGACCCAATTTACAGCCGAAGTGACCCACCAGCTATGGAAGTTATGTGGCATTAAGCTAATTGTAAATTCTGCCTATCACCTGCAGTCCAATGGGTTGTGTGAGCGCTTTAACGGTACCTTGAAGCAGATGCTCAGGACATTTGGGGAGTCCCATAAAGACTGGGAGAGGTTTTTACCCCATCTGCTTTTTGCGTACCGAGAAGTGCCACAGGAATCTACCGGCTTCTCTCCGTTTGAGTTATTGTTTGGGAGAAGGGTGAGGGGACCCCTAGACTTAATTAGAGAACATTGGGAGGGGGGGAGCAGTGCAGATGGAGTCCCCATTGTGCCATACGTGCTGGAGTTCCGGGACCGCTTGGAGGCTCTAACCCAAACCGTACGGGAGAACCTCCGGGCGGCTCAGCGGCGACAGTGGTACGCCGGTGGTACGATAGGGGAGCCAGAGACCGTAGCTTTCAGGTGGGACAGAAAGTTCTAATTTTAAAACCTGTCCGCACAGACAAGCTACAGGCCACCTGGCAGGGCCCATACCAAGTGGTAGAACAGAGATGTGACACCACTTATGTGATCGGCCCGTGCTCTGGGGTAGGGAAACGACGCATGCTCCATGTGAACATGCTCAAACCCTATCACCAGAGAATAGAGGAGGTAGCAGCCATCTGTGCCCCAGCCACTGAGGATTATGAGAATCTGCCCTTGCCAGACATGTTAGAAAAGGAAGATTCTGCAGAAAACGCTACAGGTGTGCAGCTGGGGGAGCGGCTAAGTCTCCAGGAGCGTGCCCAGGTACAGGAGTTGATTGCGGCAAAAGGTGCTACCTTCTCCAATTTACCAGGGTACACTCTGTTAGCTACCCACCGAGTAGAGACCCCAGGACAGCTCCCTATGAGACAGACTCCGTATCGTATCCCTGAAGCAGTAAGGGAGCACATGAGGAAAGAAATTGAGGAAATGTTGCAGTTAGGGGTTATCGAACATTCAGATAGCCCCTGGGCATCACCGGTAGTGCTAGTACCCAAGAAGGATGGCACCACGCGGTTTTGTGTAGACTACCGGAGGCTCAATGACAAAACAGTGTCTGACGCCTACCCGATGCCCCGTATAGACGAGCTGCTAGATAGGATGGCAAGAGGCCAGTATCTCACTACCATTGATCTGTGTAAGGGATACTGGCAGATTCCACTAGCCGAGGAGGCCATCCCCAAGTCGGCGTTTGTCACCCCGTTTGGCCTGTATCAATTTCGGGTCATGCCTTTCGGGATGAAAAACGCTCCGGCTACCTTTCAGAGGATGGTAGATCGGCTACTGGACGGGTTCCAAGAGTACGCCTGTGCGTACTTAGATGATATAGCCATTTATAGCCAGACCTGGGCAGATCATTTGAAACATATTAGTGTGGTCATTGACCGTATTGGAGAGGCAGGGCTGACACTAAAACCTAGCAAGTGTCACATAGGGATGGCAGAGGTGCAGTACCTGGGTCACAGGGTAGGATGCGGACAGCAGAGGCCCGAACCGGCCAAGATAGAGGCAGTAGCTAAGTGGCCTACCCCCAGGACAAAGACACAAGTATTGGCGTTCCTTGGTACCGCTGGTTACTACAGAAAATTTGTGCCCAATTACAGCGCCCTGGCCAAACCCCTGACGGACTTGACCAAGAAAAACTTGCCACGACAGGTCAACTGGGCCCCAGAGTGTGAACAGGCATTCCATGAACTAAAAACTGCATTAACTAAGGCTCCTGTGTTAACTGCCCCTGATCCAACTAAACGATTTCTTGTTCACACAGACGCTTCCATGTTTGGATTGGGGGCAGTACTGAGCCAAGTGGGAGCTGATGGCGGAGAACATCCCGTAGCTTACTTAAGCAGAAAATTACTACCAAGGGAAGTAGGCTACGCCGCCATCGAGAAGGAATGCCTGGCCGTGGTGTGGGCCCTCAAAAAGTTACAACCATATTTGTATGGACAACCATTCTCCTTGCTCACAGATCACAACCCATTGGTGTGGCTACACAGGGTGTCAGGAGACAATGCCCGGCTGTTGCGCTGGAGTTTGGCGCTGCAGCCGTTTGATTTCACGATCCATTATCGCCCTGGAAAACAGAATGGTAACGCCGATGGGTTGTCCAGACAGACAGAACTTGAGAAATGATCTGTGAGCACTCCCCCGGACATCCCCAAGCCGATCCGTTGGGATCAGACTGTGTATGCCGGCTTGGTTTTGGGGGAGCAGTGTGGCAAACCTAGCCACTTGGGACTGCCTAAGATAGAATTGTTGTGCCTATTTTCTGTTGTGTACTGCGCGCCGGTATAGTGTGGCGTCTCCGGCTATGTTTAATTTATGCTGTACTGTGTATGTCTGTTCGAATCCTCCCCATTCGTTAGCATTGCTATTAAAACTGACTAAGTTGTTATTTTGAATAAAGTGACAGTTGAGTGACCTGCTTTAAATATCAGTCTTTTTGAATAAAGTGGCAGTTGACTCTCAGACTGTGTTTCGTCTGGTTCTTGGGAGGATTTGGGAATATTGCCTGCTTCCAGCTTGGTACTTGGTTATTGCATTCTACCAGCAGAGATCCTGGGATTATAAAATTGCAGCTCCGCAACAATGAGGTCTTAATATCTCCAATTGTGATGGGTCAGTCTGACATATTACATGACATGCTCAGATTCAGTAGATTCTATCTCACATTAACACTACCTATTTCTAGCAACTGGCATAATTATTCATTTATTTTAACGCACTGTATAATAAAGTTTATAGAGCAGGGGTTGGCAACCTACAGCACTCCAGATGTTGTGAACTACATCTCCCACAATGCTCTTACAGCTATACTCAGGGCTGCCATCAGGAGGTGACAACCATGTATAGCTGCAGAACTACTGCCGGTGCCTGCACGCTGATAGGGCCCTATGTCTTCAGGGGCCCCGTTAGCGCTGCGGCTGGGTAATAGCATGCCGGGCCCCTTTAAAGATGCCAGCCACACCACAAGTACTGCTGGGAGGAAGTGACGGTTAGTCACTTCCTCCCAGCTCACTCCGCGCAGAAGGGAAGCGACAGAGTGGTGAACTCGAGGAGAGCCAGCCGACTCCCATCACTCCTGCACTGAAAAAGTAAGAAACAGGAGGGTGGCTGAAAAATAAGATGTGTATGTTTGTCAGTATGTATATGTGTGTGTCTGTATGTGTGTGTATGTATATATGGGTGTGTGTATATGTATGTCAGTATGCAAGTACGTGTTTGTGTGTATGTATGTCTGTATGTATGTTAGTATGTGTCTGTATATGTGTGTATGTCTGTTTCAGTATGTGTCAATATGTATTTGTGTATGTCTGTTTCAGTATGTGTTTCTGTTAGTATGTATGTGTGTGTCAGTATGTGTGTGTATCTGTGTGTGTATTCTGTGTCAATGTTTGAGGATCTGTGTGTGTGTGTATTTGCATGTATGTCAGTGTATGTGTCTGAGTATCAGTGTGTGTTGAAGTGTATACACTATATACAAATGCACACCTGCATTCAAACTCCAACATTCACACACATACTACATACAAAAACATGCTTATATTCAAACACAAATTGTGTGTGTATATATATATATATATATATATATATGTATATATATCTACAAACACAATATATACATACAATGCATTCACTACACGTGCACAAACACACACTGCATCCACAAAACACACATCCTGAGGGCAGGCTTGTAGGTGGCCCCAAATGTTCTGATGGCGGCCCTGGCTACACTTATGGCAAAGCATCAGGGAAGATGTATTACACAATATCTGGAGTTTGCTACCCCTGAGCAACATTTAAAACATTTAGTAAAGCAACATATAACATACTAGGTACAAGCTGTACATATCATCTTAAGTATATATGTATGTAAATTTTGTATTCATAAAAACAATCAAGACTCTCTTGGTTTTATTTATAAACCGCATTTTAATAAATCTCTGTGTGAATTATTAGAACCCTCATTACCTATTTATACTAACCTGGTAACAGTTTCATCTTCCAGTGGGCACCAACCAATAATCTCACAGGTTTTCAGTGACCCCCTCCCAGCTTGGATACAGCGCCCCGTCTGTTCCCCTGCAAAAGGTATGCAGCACTTTCAGTATAACCACATTTTAAGAACTATTAAAGCCTATTGTTGGCATGTTAAAGGGATTCTCCAGTGCATGGAAAACAAACCAGTTTTCCTGGCGCTAGAGAATCCTGGAGTGCCCCACTCCCTCCGGCCCCCATCACACTTAAAACCCATTCATATACTTACCTGAAACCAGTGCTGATATCCCTCGGTGCTGGGTCAGGCTCCACCCACGCCCCACGCCGACGTCCGCTGGTGGGGGAGACCTAATGCGCATGCACGGCAATGGCCGATTGTGCGCGCATTAGACCTCCCTATAGGAAAACATTATTCCATGCTTTCCTATGGGGATTCCGGCGACGCTGGAGGTCCTCATGCATAGCGTGAGGACGTCCAGCGTTGTTTAGATGACCAAAAGTCGTCTAAGAAGCCAGAAGTCCCTTTAGTGGCTGTCTAGAGAAGGACTTAACTCTGCAAGGTAATTATTGCAGTTTATAAAAACTGCAATAATTACATCGCAGGGTTAAGGGCGATGGGAGTTGGCACCTAGACCACTTCAATGAGCTGAAGTAGGCTGGGTGCCTACAGTGTCCCTTTAACATATTTTTTTTACTATTTAAATTCATCGTAATCTGTTCCTTGGTGGGATTTATCAATTGTAGCCAATATGTATCAAATATGCCAAACCAAATTTGTCAAAATATAGAACTTATTACACAAACACACCAATTAGTTGTTCCTACAGTTGGAAAACAGGAAAATCAGTGGCAATCCAATCAAAGCATAAGATACTTGCAACTATATTGGTCACACTGAATTTCTATCAATGGGGAAGAATCCACCATAATGTTGGTGCACTTGCTCTAGGTTTAGTTAACCGATTAACTTGTTTGGGTACTATGTGTTTTCCTGTTTTATGTTAAGTAAATTAAGCATCAATATGAAACAATGGAGATATTAAGTGAAAATAATAGAGGGATTTCTATGATTGAATCATACCAGGACACCAGCGGGACACTGCGTGTGTCCTGAAGTGTTTCCACTGTCACAGAAAGGGTACACCAGTGAGACACTCCAGGGGTGTCTCGGGGCTTAACCGCTAGTAGATATAGGAAAACAAAGAAAAATAAAGGGCCAATGTCTTCTCAAAAAAGTGAGATGGAGGCTCCCAGGGGGCCTCCTTCTCTAGATATAAAGTGAAACCTCCATATCTGCAGTTAAAATAGTTTCCCCTTCTTTTATTGTTTCTAAATAGCTGAACAGGCCCCAGAGAACATTAAGTAACATGCATTATTAACGAGGGATTGCACATATGTTATAGTAACACTACATATTGCACATACTTCCATTCCTGTAACTAGTTTTTCTAATTTGGTTGATTTACCCTTGCGTTCTTAACCCAGTGTGTATACTGGCTCTATTTTATTTTGTAGTTTTAATTTAGTTGGTATTATTATTATTATTGGCATTTATAAAACAGCAACTTATTCCGTAGAGATTTACAATATTATAAAGGGGGAATTTAACAATAAATGAGACAATTACAAATTGTTACAGGATCAATAGGTGGAAGAGAATCCTGCTCAAACAAACTTACAATCTAAAGGAGGTTGGGTATAACAACATGAGGGGGATAACAACCAAACGACTAGGCGTAAAAGTAGCAGAACTAGTGGAGTGTGGCTCTTTAGGAGAGAGCAAGAGACAGATTTGTGAAATATTAGTTACTCAGGAAGGCCATAGGCTTTTCTGAAGAGATGGGTTTTGAGGAACTTCTTAAATGATTAAAGACTAAAGAAGAGCCTTATGGGGGTAGGCAGGCTGGCCCAAAGAGTTAGCAGTAAGGGTGCAAGCAGTGGTCAGGAGAAGGTCCCCGGCAGGGCAGAGAAATGGAGAAGGGGGGCGCTTACAAATGAGTGAAGAAATGTAATAGGGGCTAGAGATGTTTAGAGCTTTATAGGTAAGGGCTAGTAATTGACTCCTATAGAGTACAGGAAGTCAATGTAAAGATTGACAGATGAGCGACAGGAGAGCTTAAAATCAGTAGTGAAGTCAAGTCAGCTTGACATAGCAATGATTTGATATCAAAATTAAACTCTAACATTCACATCTTGCCTAGGTCAATTGCCACCTTCTCCTACCTTTAGTCAACCGCACCCAACTGTAGCCATAAATCAACAATATGATCTTCTCTGCTATAACACAATTTTAAAGATGACATTGTAAATGTGACATTAGTGATCACAATTTCACTACCATCATTGCAGTAGGATGCAAATATTAGGTCATCAAGCAATATATTTCTGTATTTATTTATTTTTATTTCTATGAAAAGTCAATTGAAATATTTATATCAATAAATAATAAGATAGACCTCCTATAGAATACAACAGGATAATCAGTTTATGAATCTGTATTGACACTGCAGAATATAGAGACTTACCATTGCCAAGTATATGCACCCCTCCCTTGACACAGTCCTCATCATTGATGCACTGGGCTTCAGGTACAGTCCTACTCTGAAAGAGACCATTATCGGAAAGAGAGAAATGGAAAGGGAAAGAGAGAGCAAGAAAAAAAATGTGCAAGTAGGAAAAAACAGAGATGCCAAAGATATCAGATGGCAAGAATGATGTCACAGACTAGACTTGTGCATTTGGTTTCAGACAAATTCCATACTCCTAAATCACTAAACCCCCATATGACTGAATCGTGATACAAACAAAACAGACCAAGGATGAACAGCTTCATTGATTTAAATAAATATATCAACAAAAAGGTTTACAATATTAAAATTCATTTTAAAATATTAAATTATTTGAAAAGTTTATCCAAAAATTTCAAATCATTTGAAAAGCTTATCCAAAATACAAAATTGAAGCTTAGATCTGTGAACCAAATGGTGAGAAAATATGCATATGAATATATTTTGCAGAACACCGATTGGCCCTTTTTTGCATCCTTTTGATTTGTCTGAATAGTTTTTAAGGAAACTATTGCATGTATGAAATATGTGTAAATGGAAACACCACATTGACGAATTTTGATCCACCCAAACAAAATGTTTTTTTTTTTTTGGATGAACCAAGTTGCACAAACCAAATTGTTTTGCCATGCACAAGTGTAGTACTGACTAACATAGGTTATGCATCATTCATTATTAACATATATTAGTAAGTTACTAAAAACAACATCCAATCAAGCAAATAATGGCATATGACCGGCTCCTCACCTCTGCACAGGTCCCCATAGTCTGCAGTTTGGTGCTTTCTGTCCTGGTTATAATAGTAAAAATGCTTCCCCCCTAGAATACAGTGAAAGTATTAGAACATTTAAAATAAGCTAGACAACAACTTGAAATGTAAGTTAACAGCTGTAAAGGACAGCTGCTAACTAAGAGTTTTAATTTACATGTTGAAATTGAGATTGTGCCCCTTTATAAAACCTTGGTAATAAATTGGACAAAATACAAAGTAGGGTTTACAAAAGTAATAAGGGGGATGGAAGATTTCAGTTGTGAGAAAAAGGAAAGGAAATCAACATTTGTCTACTTTAAAGAAAAGACATCACAGATGCAGTGGCGGATGCAGGGGGAGGGCAACGGGGCAATTGCCCCCCCCCCCCCGAGATCTGATGCTCTCTCCTGCAGGGGCGGTGCTATCCAAGCGCCGGCCCAGCTAAGTGCCTACACGGACCGGAGGGGAGATCGGAGATCTCCCTCACCGGTCCGCAGGCACATTACTGGGCAGCCAGGACGGAGAGAGGAGACACGGGAGGAGCTCTAGCCTGCAGTTCCGCCGGGTCTCCTCTCGCGAGAACGGAGCCTTGCCGCGGTTACCACGGCAACACTCTGTTCTCGCGAAAGTGAACTCTAGCGTCAGGAGGTGCAGGCTAGAGTTCACTCTCACCACTGGACCACCAGGATTCCACCGGACCACCAGGGATTACAAGCGATATGCCCCCTCCCTGGGCAAAGGTAGGAAGGGAGGGGGGATTATAAATAATATTTTATTAATTTAAAAAATAAATAATTTGTTTTACACTGCCCCCACCAAACAAACTGCCCCCACATGCCCCCATACACACTGCCCCGACAGCCCCCCATACACACTGCCCCCACACACTTCTCCACATACACACAGTGCTCCCCATACAAACACTGTACCCCACCCCCCCCACACACACACACCTCCACATAGACACAGTGCTCCCCATACAAACAATGCACCCCACACACACAGTGCTCCCCATACACACAGTGCTCCCCATACACACACTGCACCCTCACACACTTCTCCCCCCACACACACTACACCCCATACAAGCACTGCACTCCCATACACACACTGCCCCCACTACACGTTCATACACACAGTGCTTCCACTGCACCCCACATATACACACTGCACTCCCATGCACACACTACACCCCTCACACAAACACACACTGCCCCTCCTACACAATGTGCTCCCACTGCACCCCTATACACACACTGGCCCACATGCACTGCCTCCCGTACACACACACACACACTCTGCATCCCTCACACACTGTCTTCCATACCCACCCTGCATCCTTCACACACTCAGTGCCTCCCATACACACACACACACACTGCCAACTCTCACACACACTGCCAACTCTCACACACACACACTACTAGAGGCTCTATCCCCTTCTACAGCCCTATCCTGGCAGACCCCAAGTAAATTGTCAAACTGTTTTTAAACCGTTTGACTATTTACTCTGGGAGTGCGCCACGGCACTCCTGGCACCATAACCACTACAGAGAGCTGTAGTGGTTACTATGCCTGGATTGTTTCTTTAAATAATCTATGAGTGCCCCTCCCGAGATAAGACTCTGGATCCGCCAGTGCACAGATGGGATGTGATATCAGCTGGGATATGATATATGTAGGTGTAGCGGAGTAGAGGTATAATCCACAATATCTCTGCTGGTAGTCGTAGTCAGCATACAAATCCAAAGTAGCATAATAATCCCAATCCCATTTCCCAGCAACTGGACGACACACAGTTTGGGAGTCAGCTGAGCTTTTATACAAATCCCCATGCAAGGGGTTTCCTTACTGACATTCCAGGGGTTTTCCCCGGGGGACTGTTAGGAAAACTTAGTGTACAAAAACATTTCCCATCATCCTTTTCTGTACTGGAGAGATAATTGTGTAAGAGTACACCTTTAATTACATTATCTCTCCGTACAGAAAATCACACTATATTGTTTAAAAATACATAATTCGTAAAATATGTGTCTGAGCTCCCTTCACTGAATAGCTGGGATCTGAGCGCACAATCTGTTGAATTACCGCTCAGATCCGTTTGTTAGAATAGAAAAGCCATTCAAATGAAGTTCTGGACTGGTCCGCCATGAGGAGCGAGCCCCAAAATAGTTCCTGGCAATTGCAGGCTTTGACCGGTCTTCTTTCAGGAGTTCATACGAATTAGAAAACAAAAATACACATTAATATACTGCATAGTTGTGTGTAGGAAGGTCGTTGGTTTCATTTAGCCGAACACCATTCCATTTGGACGAACGGGTCTATCTGCACGAACGGCATTGAAGTCCAGCGGTGTTCGCGAGGTCGAGTAACCGATTTTAGTTCCATGCACTCGACGACCAAACATTCGAACGGCGACCACCCATTAAACCATTAGGGTTTTGCGGTTTTCACTATGTTGCCAGTTGTTATTTGGAGACACACGACTCCCTTGTGTGGTCCTCCATTCGACAGTTTATTCGTTTTCACAAACAGTACATCCTTATTCTGTTCATGAAGCTAACATATGAATGCACATAGTTTTTACACGGAGAAATAGACGAATGAAGTGGCTAGGTTTGCCACAGTAGGAAAAGTACAGCTCTCTGGCAACCTGTTCACATGTCTTAAAGTGACACTCTTCACGCTGAACTTGCCTTTCTCCTATTGTTTCCTCTTCTCTTGCTCTTTCAGAATCTGTTCTTTTTTTTTCTTTATTTCTGATCTAGTTTTCTAGGGACTACTTTGTCTTATGTATTTTTCCTACACTTGACTTTCTTTGACCAAAAGAGGAGCTTAGGTCACCTCCATTTCCTGTGTCAAGGAGAAGGGTACTTTCAATGACACAGGAAATAGAGCTGACTTGAGTTCCTTCTTTGGTCAAAGAAAGTCAAGCATAGGAAAAATACATAAGACAAAGAAAACTAAATCAGAAATAAAGAAAGGAAGAACAGATTCTAAGAAAGGAAGAGGAAACAATAGGAGAATGGTAAGTTCGGCGTGACAGTGCAACTTTAACATAGGACATAAGAGTTTATCCTTTGAAACTTGAAGAAATTAGATTTTGCCCAGAGCAGAGGAAACTGTTATTTAAAGTAAGAAAAGTAATTTCCAAAGTTTGGTAAATGCCTTGTTTTATTATTTAAATAGTTGAATAAATGTTCCTTGATGCATGAGTGAAGTTCACATTAAGTTGGAATGCTATTATTACCTTGCTATCTGAGAGGGAATCAGACATATGGTAATAAATTTGGTTAGTATATTAATATTCTAATAACTGCAAATAAATGTTGAATTTCAAAGCTAATCAATTAACATAAGGGGGGTTCAAAACTACAATGAAAAAACAAAATTGGATTGAGTAGAGAAGTAGGATGCCTAGAAGACCCTGATCACAAGGCCATTATCAGCTGATTCCCTTCAATTATCAAGCACAATCCCTCAGAGCAACAGTTATCCAGCAGGTTGGAGGCCTGACTAGTTGATAGGTAGATGCTGACAAGTTCCGTGAAGACCCCATCAGCACAAAGGAGTTGTTATCTACCATATTATTAAGGATGGTATTGCCTAATGGAATGTTTAATTATCTTGCTTGTGCAAGGATAACTTTCACTGGAGGGAGGGAGGATAGCAGGAATCTTAATATATTAGAACATTTTAAATAAGACACAGAGACTCCTATTGTGCTATTCTCTTCTTTTATCACCTCAGCAGGAAAAATTCAAACAAGCAAGGAAATAAAATATATGAAACAGTTAAAAACCAATCATAACAGAGCATGACCTATAATGTCACAAACCTCCAAAACCCTCTTTTTTGATGCTCCCTCAGACCAGCTAAGTATCTCTGTTTTCATAAGCTTTTATTGTAGTTCCATTTGTGGTATTTTCCTTCTCTGTGATATTATTTGTATCCTACACTGCTTGCAGGCACCTTTTTTAATGGTGTGTTTTTCCCCGTTTGTTCTCTAGTGGTATAAAGAGGTTATTGAGCCATCTTGCTAATGGTTCTAGTATTCCACCTATTGCCAACACAATCAGACGCTTTGGTCTCTGTGGATATTTATGCATTTTCAGTATACTGTAGATAATTGCTGTATACAGGAAGGTATAGTGCCTGGAATGTGTTGGTAAGGTAAAGAAGGCAGCTCAACAACCCAGTCCAGAGTCTCACTCTTTCGGTCAGACAGAAAATATTCGAATTGAGAGATGGGAGTAGCGCCTTAAAGTGTTCTTTGCTGGTCTATGGAATGAAAAAAAGATGAAGATATATACCATGTAGTATGTCTAATAATATGGAATAATAAAGAAAGAAATGTACTTTGAAGCTGTCAAAAGCTACACTTATGTGCAATTGAGCGGTACAATCCTCATTTAAGGATGCTTATTGTCTCAGACATAATACACTACTGTTGTATTGTATCCCTTGGCCCAATTGGTAGTCCAGGATTTATGTAATAAAAGCAAAAATGACCATATAGTGTAGTACATAAAAAATATTATAAGTGGAGTATAATAAAATGAAATTGCACTCACGCGAGCATCTTCAATGTCTCCTACTATATAGTGAGAAGTGGTACAATTCCCATTCTAGTATTATTGGTAAGTACACGTAAATGGAAAACTACTTACAGAAGTAGAGCAAAATAGGTTTTGCTTAATTCATACAGCATAGGTGGTATATTCCATACCAAGAAAAAAAATGTTCTTTATCTTTATGTTGATATTATTTAAAAACTGCTATAGAACATTAAAAAGTATGCATTCCTAGTAAAACTAAGTGATATTATGGTGCTTGACTTTATGGTTCTTAATGAGGTTCTTTGTTTCACTTTTTTTTTTTGTGAATGATAATTTTTTTGTTTTTCAACAAGTAAATAGGGTAAACAAAGAGAGACTTGCAGATCTCCATTATGAGGAGCATTACGGTCACGCAGGATCCGATAAGAGGTTCAGTTCAGGGTAAAACAGGACATGCAGGTCCCAGAATTATAAGCATAACTGGTTCAGCTATAACATTAACAATCTTTGTGGCTGCTTGTATACCTCCTGCATAATGGTTGCTCCCAGATCTATTGTTGCCAACCACAAGACAGGTTGTCACTAGTGATGTCCCGAACGGTTCGCCGAACGGTTCACCACGAACGGTTCGCCACGGACTCATCATTCAGTAAAATTTGATCCTGTACCTAGGGGTCAGCAGACACATTCCAGCCAATCAGCAGCAGACCCTCCCTCCCAGACCCTCTCACCTCCTGGACAGCTCACTAAGAATGCTGCTTCACAATGAATGTAAAATAGATGCTGTCCAGGAGGTGGGAGGGTCTGGGAGGGAGGGTCTGCTGCTGATTGGCTGGAATGTGTCTGCTGACTGTGAGGTACAGAATCAAAGTTTACTCAATGATGAGTCCGCGGCGAACCGTTTGGCGAACCGTTCGGGACATCACTAGTTGTCACCATAATTCACTATTCTATTCCTTGCGTTCCTGTGAACCAGGTACTATAGGATCCCTTTAATTCTTCTGGTCTCTGCCCATTCAATCTCTCATCAGTCCCCCATCCGGTCACCTGAGATCTCACCCGCAGTCCAATCAGAGTGTGTCAGCAGTCTTTGAAATTGGGCCCAAAAGACTACTGTCAGCCAATGCGTCATGTGTCTGTGTATGTTGGAATTCAGCCCTGTGCTGAGAGTGTAAATTCTTCAAAGTGCCTTCATCTTACTGTACCAGAGGGTGAGAGGAGAGAGCCAACAGGGCTTGATCAGCCAGCACTCCCACTAAATATGTAGGAATAAGCACGTGGTGGCGTGACAACACCAGCACTTGCCATCAATTGAAGGGTTGATGGTCTGAAGTAGTTGTGGAGTCCTGTACCACACTGTCAATACCTTACATGCAGTTTCTTGAGTTCTGCTTGCCAGGGCACAGTGGTGGACTGTCACACATTTTACGCCATTGATTTCTTGTGAAAGTTTCCTCTATGGCTGTCTCCCATTGCTGATGTATGTGGGTGGCAAGAGTTTTGGTTACACTGTAGTGTGGAATAGAGGATAAATATAGCGTGTGGAAGCGGGTCATGGCTGGCAGGCAGGCTCATAGTGGAGGAGGCGAGGGAGCCGTGATCCTCCTGTTCAGTTCCCTGCTCCTCTTAGTGATACCTGAGCCGGAGTGAAGTCATATTCCGGCTCTGGCATCACTGCAGTGCGCACGAGGGAACAGTAAAGCGCTCAGAGTGCTCCCTCGCCGCCCGCCTCCCACATCAGCTCATGCCAGCCAGGTTGGGGCCCAGAGGTGGCCACCCTGCCAGCTCCTGAGCCTCCCAGGACAAGAGGCTGGCAAGGCATTTGCCAGGGCGTTTGGGGGGCAGCTTTTTTTGCCGCCTCCCTGCAAGTGCCACCCATTCAGCCTCACAGTAAATACACCGCTGCCTAACCCCCAACTTACGCCTCTAACTCCACACTTACACCTCAATCCCCCACTACAGGTCCTAATTCTACACATATGCCTCTAACCCCCTACTTTAGGTCCTACGTCTCCATTTCTGCCCCTTACAGCTCACAACATGCCCCTCTTCAGCCCTTATCTCCCCACTACAGCCTAGAAGCCACCCACTATTGTCCCTGCTGCTTCCCACTACAACTCCTAACCCACCAGTACTCCTAACCCCCCAGTTAAGCCTCTATCAACCCCACTATTGCCCCTAACACAACACTCCAGGCCCAAACCCTGGATTCAGCCTCTAATCCATCACTTTTGCACCACTACTCTGCCTAACCCTTCACTACAGCCTCCAACCTACCACTACTGCCCTTAAACCTAAATACAGTCCCTTACTTCCATTACTGCCCCTAACACCCACTACTGCACTACTGATAAGGCAGTGTTTACATAAAAATGCCAGTAGGGAATGATTATACTCACCAGAACTACTACATTAAGTTGTAATTGTTCTGGTGACTTTAGTGTCCCATTAACCATCCACTACTGCCCATAACCCCACACTTCAGCCCCTTACAGGTCCTAGCCCCTCCACTACTCCTCTAAATACCTCACTACAGGTCCGAACCCCCACAACTGCCCTTAATGCCCTACTTCACCTCCCACTACAGCCTGTAACCCTCTGCTACTGCCCTTTACCCTCACATCATGCTTTAACCTCACTTCAACCCATAACCCCCCGTACAACCTCTAACCTCCACTACTGCTACTGCTGCTTCCCACTACAACTCCCAAACCCTCACTTCAGCCTATAACCCCCCCATACAACCTCCAACCCCCACTACTGCTACAGCTGCTGCTTCCCACTACAACTCCCAAGCCCTCACTTGAGCCCATAACTCCCCGTACAACCTCTAACCCCCACTACTGCTACTGTTGCTTCCCACTACAACTCCTAAACCCTCACTTCAGCCTTTAACCCCCACTACTGCCCTAACCTGTACTATTGTCCCTATTCTCCCACTACTACCTATCATAGCCCCTTATGCACCACTACATATTCTGACCCCCTCTTCCCCTCCCACTCACCACTACTGCCTTTGTACCACATTACTGCCTCTAATCCCCCACTACAGACCCTAACCCCCACTACTGCCCCAAACCCCCCACTTCAGCCTCTCACCTCTCACTACAGCCCCTTACCCCTCACTACTACCCCTACTGCAGCCTCTAACGCCCCACTACTGCCCTTATCCCCGTTACTCCTCACTACAGCCCCTTACCCCTCACTACTACTGCAGCCTCTAACACCCCACTACTGCCCTTATCTCCTTTCCCCTCACTACAGCCCCTTACCCCTCACTACTACCCCTACTGCAGTCTCTAACCCCCCACTACTGCCCTTATCCCCACTACTACCCTATATCCTACCAAAGCTCCTTATCCTCCACTATATCTTCTAGCCCTCACTTCAGATCCTACCCCTCACTAAAACTACTGTCTTTATACACCACTACAACCTCTTATCCCCACTTTAGCCACTTACCCCCCACTTCAGCCTCGGTGATAAAACTCTCAACTATGACCCCTAAACCCCTGCTGCAAATACTAACCCCCCCCTACTGCTGCTCCTAACCGCCCCATTTCAGGCTCTAACCCCTAACTACTGTCCATATCTCCCACTACTACCCTATATACCCTTACCCCCTACTACATCTTCTAGCCCCTATCTTCAGCCTCTACCCCCTCACCCCACTACAACTCCTAAACCCTCACTTCTGCTTCTAAACCCCCCACTAATGCTCCTACCTCCCACTATTACACTAGGATCAATGAAAGTTAGCGGGTTTAAGCATGTGTGGGATAGGCATAAGGCTATCCTAGACTTAAGATAAGGCCAGGAAATATATAAAGTATTTAGAAAATTGGGCAGACTAGATAGGCCAAATGGTTCTTATCTGCCATTACATTCTATGTTTCTATGTTACACTATACCTGACTATGGTCCCTTATTGCCCACGACATCTTCTAACCTCCAGCTTTAACTATTAACCCCCCCACTACAGCCTCTTACTCACCACTGCTGCCTTTATATCCCACTACAGCCCCTATCCCTCAACTACTGCCCATAACCCCTAATCCTCCATTGCAGCCCATAATACCTCACTATAGCTCTTACCCCCCACTACCACACATACCCCAAACTACAGCTCCTATCTCCCACTTCTGCCAACACTACCTCTGTCGTATTTAATTTAAAAAATAAAAATTAAATGGGGTTTTCTGTCAGTTAACAAAGTAAAAAAACAAAAACAATACAAAACAACTTTTAACAATTGTATACCAAGTTTCACAGTAGGATCAATGACAAAATGTCAATCTTGCATTTAAAGTTCTTTAAAATATCCCTGGCAGTAGCTGCTAACTAGCTGTAGCAGCAAGCTAAGCCTAGTCTTAAACTAGAATTAATAATCCAAGCTAGGCAATAGTAACTTTTTTTTTTCTTATTTACTGAACACCACACACTACCCCAAAAAAGGATTTCCCCCCCAAACAGTTAACAAAGAACAAAAAAATAAAAATGTATTAACTGTATATTGATAACACTAGGATCAATTACAAAAATAGTCCTCTGCAGATCAAGAACCAAAACAATCATGTTCAGGATTGCGCAAGTCAGCCCTACTTCAATTCTGGCACGTGGCTGCTCATAAATCATAATTTTGGCCAATCAGGTAATCAGCTGAATTCTGGCATATTGCAGTCCGGGTCAAATTAAACTTCCAAGTCTAGTAAATTCTAACTATAGTCGAACAATAGGACACATGGGTATGAGAGATCCGTATTCAGAGGTGATGGTGCATTAAGTGTTGGACACTGCGGCTAATTAGAGCACTTGTCTACTGCAGAATAGGATGTTTTATTGTGGCCTCAGCTCAATACAGACAATTGGATCTTGTTGTTTTGGCAGAGAGACATTTTAATACTAAGTATTCTTAAAACAATGTTATTTCGACTCAGTATTGTGTGTGTGTTTGTGCGTGTGCGTGTGTATATATATATATATATATATATATATATATATATATATACAAAAAGCAAAAAATCCTTGCACTCACGCTTTATTCATTACTGCCGGGTGCCAAAGCCTGCAGGCTGGTTCAAATAGAGTATCCACAAGGAAAGTCATATATATATATATATATATATATATATATATATATATATATATATATATATATATACACACACACACACACACACATATACATATAGTACGTGTGTATGTATATAATATATTATACATATATATGATTTCATTATAAGTGTATTTTGAGATATATATGTATAAATCTCGAATCACCATTCCAGGTAAGTCCAGGGCTCCTATTTGCCGCAATCGTAGTAGGGATATACATAGATATATAATTTCATTCTATGTGTATTTTGATATCAATATATATATATTGAAATCAAAATACAGTTTAAAAAAAATATGTAATTTTATTCTAATTATTTTTACAATTTACATTTTTAATTATTATTTATTTTTTATAATATATATATACACAATTTATATAGTTATCATATATTATATATATATACGTATGTAATTTTACTCTAAGTGTATTTTTATGTTAATATATGTATATATAAATTTTAAAAAATGACGTTATATAAGACATTATATATGACATTATATATAGATATACTATATGTGTACATATATATCTCATATATACATATATATTTTTTTATTTATTAACTATATATATATATATATAAATATATATATATATATATTAACTTTTTTCAAACTTTTTTTTAAAACTTTTTCCACCTGCAGGTGGACTGCTTGACAGTTCAGGCAGTCCCCCTGCTGGCAGCACTGTGGAAACCTATGGCGGCCATGTCACAGCTCTTTTAGATCGGTCACATGGCCCCTGGGAGTCCTAAATTGGAGATGGAGGACTGCCCTGACTGTCCTGCCTAAGAAGAAGAAGAAGAAGATAAGAACATGGGGAGGGAGATGGAGGGAGGGTAGGGGTTAAAAATGGTTTTTTTTTTTTAATTATTTAACTATTTTTTAAAAAAAATAAAAAATGTATAATTACTGAGTGCCTCGAAACCCTCGAGGCACTCAGACCAGGCAGAGCATCGGAAGCCTGTCTGATGGCTTCCGATGTTCTGCCTCACTGCCGGGCTCCACATGGAGCAACCCGGAAGTGATCGCTCCCACCGGTGTTCTCTGGGGGCCACCTGCAGTGAGGGCGGTATTGCAGCGATGCCTCAACATCGAGGCATCGCTGCAATATTATTAGAGCTGCTAGAAGCGATCATGATCACTTCCAGCGCTCTAATTCCCCATGGACGTATCAGGTATATCCGCGCTCCCTAAGGACTGTTTTTTGTCAGACGTACCTGAAACGTCCTTGGTCGGGAAGGGGTTAAGGTTAGGTTTTTTACAGCTAACAACTCCTCTGGTTAATGTTTATTTAAACTTTCTCTCTCACGTTCCCAGAAAATTCTTCCTTGTCTTGGTCCAATCTTCCCTCCCTCTCTTGTCCAACTTCCTAGACTGTTCTATGTTCTTCATCTTTAGTTTCACAGACAAATATTTTTTTCTCCCATCCCTTGTACAGTTTCTAGGCCATTCTTCTTTTGTGCTGTCCATTATATATAATCAGATATTTTTCTTTATCACTGTTTCACATGCCCATTCTCCACAAGTACCTAGGCTGTTTTTCACATTTTCCTTTTTTTTTTCTTTTCCAATTTTGTGTCACCATGTCACCCACTGTCATTCTCTACAACACCCTGTCCTTAATCTTCTCAATTCCCAACATCAATATGCCTTACCTCTGGAGGCTTCACATATTCAGCTACATCCCAAATCCTTTTTAGTCCTCTATGCACTCTGGATATGGACACGCCTTTAACTTTTGTAATTACGGCACTTTCTGGGCCAGTTTCCTTTGCCTGGTACCCCTTCTGAACCACAAACACATACCTGAAAAGAGGACAAACCGCGAGTTATTTAGACTGTGAAAGAGTTGTGTAGCTACCAATTTGTTCTCTTCTTGTATGACAAAAAATATATATATTTTCCATTTATATATCTTCTCCATAACATCTTCATGCACCACTTCCATGTGTATCTGTTTTGTTTAACTTTCTATCATTTACCATCTACATTCACATCACTTCTCCATACTACAAATTGCTCTGCTTTATTTACCCCTGTCTAACTACAAGTCTCCATGCCCAGCCAGATTTAACTTGGAATATACACCTCCAGCTTTTTGTTTTTCCCACACCCATCACTGAATGTGTCTCCATCCTCTTTACCCTCACCAATTTCCATGCCATGATTTAACTATTATGCCACACTAATATCTGCTAGGTGCCCTACATCTCCTGTAATCCTCTCTTTATTAATGTTACCAGTGGTCTGTTTAACTGTTGACGTGTTTTTATGTAGATTTCCTGCTCTGTACCAACATCCCCTTCCTAACCAAACATGGTGACCAAATTCTACCACCTTTGTGTCCACACAATTTATGCGCAATAACTGTGTACCCCATTCTGCACACATATTTTCTTGTGTCTGCACCAATATCTTTACTGTATTTCCATTTCTATGATCTCTTGATTTTGTTTACATATAATACAATTATATTTATGCCCACACCAACCCTTATGACACCAGCTCTCTGCCTATGACAATTTCTGCATGGTATTCTATATATCATGCTCATTTTTTACCAAGTTTTACGTTCTAATACTCAATGTGTGCTCAGCTCTTTCTTTTGACAACTTCATGCTATTATTATTATTATTATTGGTATTTATATAGCACCAACTTATTCCACAGTGCTTTACAATATTCTGAAAGGAGTCCAGTTAATAATAAATGGACAATTACAAAATGATACAGAAAAAATAGGTAGATGAGAACCCTGCCCAAACGAGCTTACAGTCTAGATGTTATGTGCCAGCTTCCCTTCTCTATTGACAGCTTCTTTTAATGTCTTTTACCCAATATCACCCGCTTTTACTTACCACACAAAGTACACAATGATGAGCAGCTGCAGGAGCCTGTAAATGGTCCCCAGGTGACGATTCTTTACCACAATCACTTTGGGTGTCTCGTACTCCCACAGTTGCCCAATCCATTGCAGAGTGTGGGATGCGCAGCCTGTCATCGGCAGAATCCTTCACTCTGGGACAGAGTGACACTAGTCCTTGTGCTGGTCTTAGGGATGGTGCCAGTGCTGAAAACTCTTCTATTGGTTTATACTGGGATAAATCCAATAGTCTGTGTTTGTGCATTGTCTGCTTCCTCTTACTGGAGATGACTGTAAAGTAATTAGTGCTGATCTGGAATGATGGGAGAGTGAAGTCAGAGAGCAGAGGGGGTATTAGAGGTGCAGGGCATGTGCAATGTGATGGTATTGAGCCTCCCTCTAGTGGATATTGTGGCAATCTCCTTCTACAAGTAATATATATATATATTTTACACAGGATTAAATACTAAAGTGAGAATTCAAAGTACATTTAAAAGGTTAAACTAAAATAGCTATCTTTTTCTATTATTCTAGATTTTTTTTTTATATCAGCTATATATATAATTTTCTCTTTAGTAAATAACCCTGACAGTGTCTCAAAGTGATGCATGTCCCTGAAGTCCCAAAGTCAAATAACTATTTAATTGCAGTGTTTTAGGTTATTTGCCTCTTATACTTACACCTATATCTATCTATCTACTGTTTGGTGTAGCATATTTATCTGTTATATTATTTGTATTTCAAGTGTTGTGGGGTACACTAACACTACACCTTTTTATATATATATATATATATATATATATATATATATATATATATATATATATATATATATATATATATATATATATATATATATATATATATACACACACTGCTCAAAAAAATAAAGGGAACACTTAAACAACACAATGTAACTCCAAGTCAATCACACTTCTGTGAAATCAAACTGTCCACTTAGGAATCAACACTGAGTGACAATCAATTTCACATCCTGTTGTGCAAATAGGATAGACAACAGGTGGAAATTATAGGCAATTAGCAAGACACCCCCAATAAAGGTGGTGACCACAGACCACTTCCCAGTTCCTATGCTTCCTGCTGATGTTTTGGTCACTTTTGAATGCTGGCGGTGCTTTCACTCTAGTGGTAGCATGAGACGGAATCTACAACCCACACAAGAGGCTCAGGTAGTGCAGCTCATCCAGGATGGCACATCAATGCGAGCTGTGGCAAGAAGGTTTGCTGTGTCTGTCAGCGTAGTGTCCAGGCGCTACCAGGAGACAGGCCAGTACATCAGGAGACGTGGAGGAGGCCGTAGGAGGGCAACAACCCAGCAGCAGGACCGCTACCTCCGCCTTTGTGCAAGGAGGAACAGGAGGAGCACTGCCAGAGCCCTGCAAAATGACCTCCAGCAGGCCACAAATGCGCATGTGTCTGCTCAAATGGTCAGAAACAGACTCCATGAGGGTGGTATGAGGGCCCGACTTCCACAGGTGGGGGTTGTGCTTATGGCCCGACACCGTGCAGGACGTTTGGCATTTGCCAGAGAACACCAAGATTGGCAAATTCGCCACTGGCGCCCTGTGCTCTTCACAGATGAAAGAAGGTTCATACTAAGCACATGTGACAGACGTGACAGAGTCTGGAGCAGGGCCGGACTGGGGATTCCAAAGCAGCCCTGGAAAAAAAATCTATGCCAGCCCCATAAGTCATTGCGCCATATATTGTCGTATGTAATATGTAAGGCTATGTCTTGCCACCCTAGATGATTGATATATTGCTTTTTCCAATATAAAATATTGGTCCTTTCAGAGTAAAATTTTTAATTATATAGTAAGCATACTCACATGCAGACACAGACAATCTCACTGACACAAGCTGATTGATACACAGCCTCATAGACAAACAATCCCACTGATATACATAAGGTTATTGACATAAAAACACAAGCTCACTCAGTAGCAGGCACACACACACACACAAGCAAGCCCACTCACAGCTTAATGTGGTGGCTCTGGTGTCTATAGCCTGTCCCTGCAGGCTTTTCAATGTAAACACTGACTTTTTAGAGAAAAGGCAGTGTTTATATTGCTTTTCTAGTGACAGACACTCAGACGGTCACTAGAGGTGCTTCCTGTGTCAGTGCGGTTTGGCTGAGATTATCAAGCTTGATGATCTCAGCCATAGAGGCAGGGCCAGTCGAGGGGAGACCAGCACAATGTGGGGGAAAAAAAAGGTGAGTAAAAACATACATACACACACACATACCATGACAGACACACACCATGACACAGACAGACCGTGACACAGACAGAAACACACACACCGTGACACAGACAGAAACACAGACACACCATGACAGACAGACACACCATGACAAAGACAGACACACACACACAACATGACAGAGACACACACATACCATGACAGACATACACACACCATGACAGACACACACCTTAAAAAAGACACACACACCTTGACACACACACACCATAACACAGACAGACATGACACAGACCATGACACACAGACACACACACACACGATGACCACACAGACACCACACAGACACACACATGATACACACACCATGAGACAGACCGTGACACAGACACACCGTGACACAGACACACATTACATGACACAGACACACACATGACAGACACACACACCATACCACAGACAGACACCATGACAGACACACACACCATGACACACAGACACACACACACCACACAGAGAGAGACACAGACACACACACACCGTGACACAGACAGACACACATTACATGAGAGACACACACACACACCGTGACACAGACACACATTACATGACACAGACACACATTGCATGACACAGACAGGCGCACACACCATGACAGACAGACACACACACCATGACAGACAGACACACACACCATGACATAGACAGACACACACAATGACACAGACAGACACACACACACCATGACACAAACAGAGACACACACATACACTCACACTGACACACACAATTTCTACCTGTGGTGAGCTCTGATGGTGGCCGCATGGGGGAGCTTGCTGTTCTGGCGGCCGAAGAGTGAGCTCCTTTGGCGGCCGTAGGGGGAGCTGGCTTTTCTGTCTCTGCTCCCCCGCCCCAGCGTGCCGCTTAATGAGACAGGGGTCGGAATATGATGTGCTGGGGCGGGGGAGCAGAGACAGAACAGCCAGCTCCCCCTGCGGCCGCCAAAAGAGCTCCCTCTGCGGCCGCAGGTGAGCCAGCTGCCTGCCCGGCTCCATGTGCCGACGGCCCACCGGGAAATTTCCCGTTAGTCCCTGGTGGGACGCTGCTGCCTGGACCGCAGTGGGTCTGGCATGACAGCCCTTCATGTGCTCGCCAGTATTGCCATTAGGTACCGAGATGAGATCCTCAGACCCCTGAGACCATATGCTGGTGCGGTTGGCCCTGGGTTCCTCCTAATGCAAGGCAATGCTAGACCTCATGTGGCTGGAGTGTGTCAGCAGTTCCTGCAAGACAAAGGCATTGATGCTTTGGACTGGCCTGCCCGTTCCCCAGACCTGAACCCAATTGAGCACATCTGGGACATCATGTCTCGTCACGTTGCACCACAGACTGTCCAGGAGTTGGCAGATGCTTTAGTCCAGGTCTGGGAGGAGATCCCGCAGGAGACCATTGGCCACCTCATCAGGAGCATGCACAGGCGTTGTGGGGTGGTCATACAGGTATGTGGAGGCCACACACACTACTGAGCCTCATTTTGACTTGTTTTAAGGACATTACATCAAAGTTGGATCAGCCTGTAGTGTGTTTTTCCACTTTAATTTTGACCCCAAATCCAGACCTCCATGGGTTGAAAAATTTGATTTCCATTTTTAAATTTTTGTGTGATTTTGTTGTCAGCACATTCAACTATGTAAAGAACAAAGTATTTCAGAAGAATATTTCATTAATTTAGATCTAGGATGTGTTATTTTTGTGTTCCCTTTATTTTTTTGAGTAGTGCGGTACCATCCGGTACTGGTGCGTCAGTATGTATATTTTCAGTGAGCGTGATTCCCGTCGCCCTCTCCCAGCGGATCCTGGGCGGGTGATTTCACCATATAAACTTAGAGCTGTCAGAGTCTAGCAGTTGAAAGAAGGATGTGGGCAGGCAAATCGGGATCGTTTGGAATAAATACAGTAGACGAGGGAGGAGGTTAATCTTGACAGCATTTATTCTACCGAACCACAAGATACATAGGCTGGACCATCGCAACATATCTGTCTTGAGAGTCTGTAGGAGTGGCGTGAAAGTGTGGGCATACAATTGGGAGAGGTCCATTGGCAGTCAGATACCAAGGTATTTCAATTTGGTCGTACACCAGGACAACGCGTGCTGTGTGCGCAGGTGGGAGGCCGCTTCTGCCTCAGTCGAGATGAATAGTGCTTCCGATTTGTCTGCGTTGAACTTCCGGTTTGATATACGACCGTAGTCCTTGAAAGCTTTTAACAGGTTCGGCAGGGATACCAGGGGATTGCTGATGAAAAACAGCATGTTGGCTGCTGTCTTGTGGGTGATGCCTTTCAGGGCAAACCCAGATATACCCCGTCCCATCTGACCGCCCCCAGGAAGGGTTCCAGGGAGAGGGCAAACAGAAGTGGGGAGAGAGGTCACCCCTGTCTCATCCCTCATCTGGAACGGCGGCGACAGGGCTTCGTTTATCCGTATCCTGGCGCTCGGTATCGTGTACAGCGATGATATCCAGGGTGGCTTTCATGTACTGCCAATCTACGCGGTCGAAGGCCTTCTCCTCATCCGTGGAGAGGAAGAGGGTCTGTTGTTTCGATTTCCCAGCCACATAGATGATGTCCAGTGCCCGGTTGGTATTATCTCTCACCTCTCTCCTGGGGATGAAACCCACCTAAACCGGTTCGACCAGGTCTGGGAAACCTCCGCTCAGGCGTGTGGCTAGAACTTTAGTAAAGAGCTTCAGGTCCACGTTCAGGAAAGATATCAGCTTGTTCAGCTTGGAGGACTTCAAGGCGGCCTGCAGTTCCATTAGCGTGACGGGTGCCTCCATGTCCGCCGCGTCCATCCGGCTCAGTGTCTTTGTGACATGCTGCTGCAGGTATGTCATCATCTGTGTGGTCCGACCCCGTTCTTCCCCTGCCGACTCCCCCTGTTGCAAATTATAAAGGCCTGAGTAGTATTTGTGGAATTCTTCTGAGATTCTGTCCGGCAGTTGGGTTGCCGGGCCTTCCCTAGGTTAAATTTTGGTG